ATAGGCTGTACTCGCGAAAAAAACTTCTGAACTTCTGATTCTGAAAATGGCGGGTTTTTTTCATCTGCAGCATGTGAGATCCTGAGATTCAATAACTCTGGTAATTTACATATTTTATGTCCATGGAGACGCCAACTGAGATTGTCATGTTTCAAGTCGTTTAATCAGGTGTGAGCCATTGAGATGCGTTATTTATATAGAACGACGCAGTGCCTGATCCACAAATACGAAGGAGACATCACAGCGATACACTCTGCTAATCCTGAATGTGAAATTGTAGTTGTTGCTCTGCATCTACATCAGCCACACGAAAGGAGAATAAGGCGTTCTTTATTTTGCCATGCGAGAGCGACTTGATATAATCTCCAGCGATGTCTTATATTAACCACGGGAGTGGCCAATGAGATCATATCTCGTTACAAGGGATTCACATTGTCCTCCATTAAGGGACGTCCTCTAACCACGTGCTCGTGACTGACAGTGAAACCAAATTAATTCAGGATACAGATTGAGAAACAACCTTTAATACTCTTCGGTTCTTTCGGTAAAGTCACGTAGGTGAAAAATAAGAAATAAAATATAAATAAATCACGACGTTTCGATTGCAACACAAGCAATCATCATCAATGACTTTCAGATTACGATAGACAACTACAACCTTTCTCAACTTGACCGAGGGTCTAAAGGAGGTGGAATTGCCATATACAGTATGTTCGTAGTACTATTGCATGTTCACCAGCTCATTCCTTGTTCACAAAATATTGCTTTGAAGGTCTGGCTCTCAAAATCACTCTCCCTAAAAATCAACAGTTATTGGCAGTGTGCTGCTATAGACCACCTCGTGGTAAGGATGTTGAAGCTGGGAACGCACTGAGGGAGCTTCTTGGGGGTCTTCCTAAAGGTGAAATCATTTTAATGGGTGATCTCAATTGGAATTGGCTAAACCCGCCGGCCGTGGCCACAAATTTTGCAGATGAATTTAACCTATTTCAATTAATAAATGTCCCTACAAGACCCAACCTAAAAAACCCGGGACAGTCATCTCTGCTTGACGTCCTATTGACAAATTCCCCTCACAATTTCGCACTGACTGGTGTTCTGGGTAATAACCTTAGTGATCACTCCTTCATATTTGGGGTGAGATCATCAGCCAGACCCAAAGCCCCCCCCTAAATTGGTTGAGAAGCACTCCAAGAGACACTTCAGCATTCAGGCATTTACTAATGATGTGCTTCACTCGGATATTGACAAGGTATGTGATATCCCCAACCTGACTACGGCTTGGGAGACCTTCAGCTACACGTTTCTCCAAATTCTTAACAAACATGCTCCGTTGGTTAGATTTAAAACTAAAAGCAACCGCCCACCATTGTTTGATCCCTTGATTACTAAGCTCATGAAAACTAGGGACAAGGCTTGGGCATGTGCTCAGAAAAGTAATTTAGTCCATGACTGGCTAGAATACAGGATTTTAAGGAATAGATGCGTCAAAAAAATACGGCATGCAAAAAATGCATACTTTTCCTCCACTCTCCTGGAATCACATGGAAATTCCAGGATCTTCTGGAAAACAATCAAAAGTATCGAACAGGCATCTAACACAGATAATCTGCCTGTTGAGCTTAACCGAAATGGGGAATATTTTTCAGAGCCCCAAAAAATAGGTGACAGTTTTAACCTTCATTTTTCTGAAGCTGGTGACCTTTTCAATAATGTATTGGGAGTCACCCCTGCGCATGTAAATTCCTACACCCCTGTCCAAACATTAAACGAATTTAGTTTCCAGTCAATCCACGAAAGTAATGTTCTGAAACAACTGTCCTACCTCAAAGGGTCCTCCTCTACCGGAGCAGATAGTATTCCCGTCTTTGCTCTGCTAACTGTTGGTCACCTAATATACAAACCTATAGCCTATATTTTCAACCTGTCCATCAAAGAAGCATCAATACCTCTAGAATGGAAACATTCCTATGTTCGTCGACTTCACAAAGGGGGCCCTAAAGATGATCCAAATAACTACCGACCTATCTCAATTTTGTCCCCGTTGATGAAAAATTTTGAAAAATGAATTAGCAGATTCCTGTCCGACAACAATCTATTACATCGAAAACAATCTGGGTTCCGAAAAAAATACAGCACCACATCTGCTGCATTAGACTCTCTGAATCACATTTACAGTAGCCTTGATAATAAGCAGTACTGCGCCAGTCTTTTTCTTGACTTGTCCAAAGCCTTTGATACAGTGGACCACAACACCCTGCTTAGTAAACTAAGTTGCCTCCATTTCTCCAAACATGCAGTAGAATGGTTAAAAAATTACCTCTCTTTTCGCACTCAAACTGTACTCACAGATGGTTGGAGGTCAAACAGTGTTAAGATAACAAAAGGGGTTCCACAGGGTTCAATCCTCAGCCCCTCTTGTTCTCTCTTTATGTCAATGAATTGGGCACTGACCTGGATCATTCCAGGGTAAATCTTTTTGCAGATGACACGATACTGATTACTGCTGGCCGCTCTCCGGATGACGTGATTGCTAAGCTCCAGGGTTATTTCAACAAACTACACCATCAGCTAGTTGCTCTTAAACTAGTCCTGAATACCTCCAAAACCAAGGTGCTATGCTTCTCACCAGGACTAAAACAGGAAGTTATTTTTCCCCAATTACATTCCTTAAATAATTATCAAATAGAGCAAGTCAAGATCTATAAGTATCTTGGGGTCATTCTTGATTCAAAACTGAATTTTGAAGATCACATTGATTATATTGGTAAAAAGACAAAAAAAATTTGGTTTTCTGTATCGACACAAGCACTGCTTCCCCCCTATGTTCCGTTTGGAATTGATAAAAGCTACCATACTGCCTCTACTTGATTACTGTGACATCGTGTATAAATCAGATCCAAGTACTGTACTGAAGAAGCTTGACTCAATGTATCACTCGGCCTTAACATTTGCATTGAACTGCCCATATAGGACTCACCACTGTGATCTCTACATTGGGTCAAACTTAACATCTCTCAATGTTCGACGGCTTGTGCATCAGATCTTATTTATTCATGATGTACTTACAAAAAAATCCGCAGATTACCTGCTGGATCTCCTCTCCGTTTCAAAGAACAAATTGACCTAAGGTCTTCGCTCATTTACCAGCTTCACATTCCCTATTGCCGTACAAATACTGGAGGAAGAGCCTTTGCTATTGATGCCCCCAGGGTCTGAAATGCTATTGCCAATAAACTGCAACTTGAATCACTACCTATGAGATCTTCACTCAAAACTGCTGGTCACCCCGTGGTGCCCTTATATCAACGTTTAACCTACTTACGCCAGCTTGTGCCCGCCCTCACAGTCGGCCATATTTGCGGAATACACCACGCCGCCGTTGACCCTGGCCATTGACCGAGCAACCCAACGTTCCTACACCAGCTCCCTCCGCAGGAATGTGTTTTAAGGGGCGCCACGGTGGCGTGATGTTATTTGTTTTGCCTGGTATGAAGGTGGTCGCGATTTGATCCCGACCCTGACGCCTGTATATTTGGAGGTTGCATGTTCTCCCTGTGGTTTCGTGGGTTTTTTTCTTCTCCGGGTCCCGCGGGTTTTCCCCTCCGCATTTAGAAAACATGCGTTTAGATGGTTTTATTTGTTTAGAGTATTTGACTGATATACATTTCGACATGATAAGCTACTTCTTTGAGCTATCATTTGTGGCCAGGTCGCTTGTGAAAAAGAAGCTAAGAGCTCAGTAAGCTTTACTTGGTAAAATAAAATAAAAGTTTAGTTTATTTGCGTTTTATTGTGATTTGTTTAACTTAATATTTTTCACTGCTATCGTATTTTTATATTCTTTGTTGTTGTAACCTTCTGACCCGCGCCTACTGGGCATCTGTGAAAAAGAGCTTCATAGCTCATCAGATTCCTTCAGTCTAAATGAACATCGTGATTGTGAAGCTACATCAACAAACAATAACAAACGACGATCGCAGTGCAAGATAGGATAAAGGTAAGCAAGTTGCTGAAAAATAAAAAGTATATAGAAGTACAAATTTCACAAGCGTATACATCCATGCAGTCGGTTTAAAGCATTCCTTACTGCATTGTAAACAATTCCCACAGTGGAAAGTTGCACTCTGTCCACGTGCAGTCAATGGCAACAGTGGCCGGGATTACATCTTGATTTGAAGCTTTCGTGACTGCAGGAATCTATACTCCTTGGTTCTTTCGGTAAAGTCACGTAGGTAGAAATACAGTAGAACCTCGGAGATCGAACGCACCAGAACTCGAACAAATCGGTGTTCGAACGATATTTGCGAACATTTTTTGCCCCGGAAACCGAACGAAATTTGGAGGTCGAACGGGCAATCGCTAGACTTGAAAGAACCTGTACGGCTGAGACGCGTATGGCCAGCGTGCATGACGCTTTCCCAGACAAACAATAACACCACCACCTCCTCACCACCTTCCACTCAAGCCATCAACTCTCCTTACTACAAATAAAGTTCATTTATTTCATTTATTCCATATATTTATTCATTTATTCCATTTATTTATTGTGTTTCTTGTTTTTTTGTATGATTTTATGCACGTAATTACTGTAAACTTCGTGTAAACATGCGTTATAATGAGAGATTTCTTGTGTCTGGAACCAATTAATGTAATTTACATTAATTCTTATGGGGAAAATGTATTCGGTGTTCGAACAAATCGGTGTTCGAATGGCCTTCTGGAACGAATGAAGTTCGATCTCCAGGGTACCACTTTACCCAAAGAACCAACGAGTATGGGCCGGGATTACTTTGCCTTTGTTGACGAGGCGGTGTGACGTCACAGGCACATCGAGCGACGACGTCGCACGCGTCACGCCGTCGGCGTCAACGGCGCGCGCGCGGTGACGTCACGACGCGTTCGGGGGCGTGACGTCATCGCGCAAGTCCGTGCCGTGAGGGTGGGGGGTGGGTTGGCGAGGGATCCTCCCACTCGAGTGACGTCACGGGGCAGTGACGTCACGCAGGTGGGCCAAGCCACCTGGGCGCTATGCGACCGCTAGTTCACGGGGCTCGGTGCGACGCGAATTTATTTTATTTTTGTGTCTTCTCAAAAAAAGAATCCAGCACCCCCCCCCCTCTGCCCCTTCACAGGGTTCCTCAACTTTTCTTAAAGTAAATTAAAGTCGCGTCAAGTGAGGGTGGGGTGGGTCGTGTACGGGTGAAAGCAAGGTGAGTTGTGTCTTTGTGTTGTGTGCACGCTGAACACGTGCGCGGGTTACATTGCCGGCAGGTCGTGCTGTACACGTTGCGTTATACACGTGCAGACACACGTTGTGTGTACGTACACACGTATAACCCATAGCACGTACTATTCACACGCACTCTGTCTCACACACAGCATGTACTACACACACACACTGCACTGTGTGTGTGTACTCTGGTACACGTGTATATATACATGCCTATATACTATACACATGCTACATACACGTGTTGTGTAGCATGTGTACAGTACACACGCTGCACAACACGTGTACCCTGGTACAAATGTATATACAGTGTACACCGTGCATGTACTGTGCACATTCTACAGTACACGTGCTATAAGTGTCTATAGTATGCCTACACAAGTGTATGTATAACAAGTCCTGTGCAAGCACTCACGTTTATACCACAGAGTAAATGGTGTACAAACGGAACGGTGTATGTGAGTGTGTTACGGTGTGTGTGTGTATTCTCGATATGCAGGTACAAGGTACAATCTATGCCAATGCGTATGGTTCACAAGAACAACTTGAGATCGGTGGAAGACCTCTCTTCAAACTTTGATATCACTCGATGCACCCTCAATAATCACACCCGAATCGCTTTCGGCGTGGCATATCTATAAATAGATCATCGCACTGTCTTGCCGTGGTGGTTTTTTTTTATTATAAATATAAATAAACAGCAGTCACCGGTGGGTTTGCGTTCACAAGCGAATTGGTCCCACCACGTCGTCAGAACGTGGAAGTTCCACAACCTGGCGGCGGATCGCGATTTGCCGACGGAGATTAACAATTCCGTGGGACATGTTGTGCCCGGGCGAGAGGCGGCGATGTCCTCTTCGTCGTCCTCGTCGCATCGAGCAGCTGCTGGCACGCTGCACGTGGAGTTGAACTTCTTACGCGCCGTACGTAGTAGCCAACAGCGCTCATCGGATATGCGTTGAAGTGTGGTCCTCTGTATGTGAATGTAAGTGTTGAGTGTGCCCTGTACGTATACGTGGTGAGTGTATCCAGTGTGTGCACTTATGGGACCTGTATTTGATCTCCTTATGTAGTTTACACACCCAAAGGCACATGGGTGTGGGTTTTCAGTACAGGACCGTACTTGGATTAATGTAATAATCGATAAATGATAGGTTGTTGACGAGGGAGTTGTAGTTGGGGTAATAAAGTGACCGAATATACTCTATTACCTTACTGTATAGGCCGCGGGATGGTATATAATTACATCGGATTCATTCTCAGCATTCCTGTAATTCCTTTGTTCTAAGTAAAAAATATCACCACTTTGCAACATTCTTTGGTTGGTGCCGATTGATAATTAGCGCTGTGAATCGGTGATGGGAATTCCACGTTCCTATAGCAGGGATGGTATTCTCTCTACTGGACAACCGCTGTCAGATTTTTTTTGTCTCGATTAGAAATGTACCCAATTGTTGGGTTACAGTGGTCCTAAAATATCTGAAAATCGTAGCTGCATACGAAATTTAGGATGATCCCCCTCCTAAAAAGTGCCATCATTGTTTCGGATAAATAGGAAGTGGCATCCGTTTACATGGAGTCACTTATGGGATTTTTTTCCATGCCATCACTCGTGAATTTGAAGATACGCAACATTATTTTTGCATAAATGGCTAAAAAATAAAAACGTTTGCATTCAATTACAGTTTAACAGATGCAAATATATGTAAATAAATACAATGATTAATTTGTAAAATAATAGAATTACTTTGTGCTTCAATTAACAAAGATGTTACAAGTTAATAGATTAAAATTCCGACATACGATGTAAAATCCAAATTTGGGCCTAAAAATTCAAAATGCTCAGATGTAATACATAACTAACCCCTCGCATACAACACTGCAATTCTCGAGGGACCTCATAACAGCATTACTCTGAAATCAATAATTTGAAGAGCCCTTTACTGTAGTCCAGTAAATAGCAAGTGAACTTTGAATTCCTCACTTAAACAACGTAATCGTTTGCATACAATATTGAGGCAGCCGGTGTAAGTGCACGCCTGTCATTCTGTCGTGTCCTCTGGGGCTTGTCTGGAGGTCAACTTTTCACACCTATCAAGTAATGTCAGTGCTGGGGCACTAATGCTGTAATTTAATACCACTCTGCTTAGTTTCACATTTTTGGTGGAATGCCATCGACAGCTGCAACAATTCTCTACAAATTCCCGTGTATACATTTTGGGGTGTGTGTGTTATGGGTGTTTTTGGGTGTGTAATGTGTGGACGCGGTGTTGCACGGGTAAGCGTGCTGTGCCGCGATCCGAGTGACCGTGCTTTGATTCCTTTTCCATGGTTCTCATCAACATCCAAATGTAGCCTGGGCCGTTCGTCAGTTGACTCAGGTTGCAGTGAACATCAGCACTGGATGGAGAAAGGTAACCATTTGTAGTGGTGGCCTCTCCAATCCCTTGCATGCCTGGCCAGGCCTCATCGATTACAGTATTGCTAAGAGCACCCGTCCCTTTAAGTCTGGAGGCTGAAGTTGAGGATCTTGGTCTTTGTATATATTTAAGTGGCCGGGTAGCTAATTCATCAATGTTGCTCACAACGATTGTTTTTATTAAAGTCAACGGGTTTTGATTCCTGCTGCAGCCTGCCACAATTTTTTTCAGGGAATAATGAAAGTGTTTGGCTTGCTGTAAAATAGGCAATAGAGGCCCACGTGACATCACTGCCAAGAGAAACTCAGATCCTGAATCTGTAATTGTAAAATGGTAATACTGTATGAAATGCATAGCTGACCTATTTCGCCATAGTTACTCAAGGGTTCCTTTGCATAAGCTATCATCTCAGTGGCTTCCCATACTAATCAGTGGGCATGTTTTGACCAATCCAACCTATGTGGTGAAACATCTCTGGGTCATAATGGACTATTACATTATGCATCACTTCTGTAGTAAGGGTAAGTGTATGTGGTTCACTACTTTTGACAATTGTACTTGTATTAATTAAAAAAGTAGTGTTGTAACATAAACGTGTATATTGTCTGAGTCTTCAGCCATTAGTACATTTGATATGGAGTGGTGGTACGGTTATTGAACGCGTGATATATTATTTTGTGCATATTTCTGTCTCCTCTGGTTCCTTAACCCCAAAGCGCATTGCCATTAATGTGGCACCCAATGACAGCTAGTGAGGTCTAGTTAAATATCGTGCAAAATCAAGTTACTTACATGAGCACCATTTAAGGAACAGACATTTAGAATACTATTTCTGCAGCGCATATCATAAGAAAGGGCACAACAGTCTGAAAGTTAATCACATTTGCACTCATCAATTACTTACATGAGCACCATTTAAGGAACAGACATTTATAATACTATTCCTGCAGCGCATATCATAAGAAAGGGCACAACAGTCTGAAAGTTAATCACATTTGCTCGTAGAATGCACTCATCAATTAGCAAGCGAAGAAGAAATGCCTTCACTACTTGCGAGCTGAGGAGTTGACGGTCAGCAGGAGCTGAAATCGCATACTAAGACATATTTAGAACTTTCAGAATGGTGTCGGCCAAAGATCAAATCGTAAAATGAAGGCAACCTGTAGTTCTAAGTGTGTCAGAAGTGCCAAGAGTTCAAGCATTTTCTTAATTTCGACATTTCTCTTCTACATATATATTATGCATTATTTAATGATATAGTTGCAGACCTTAAATAATGTTTAAATTATGAATACGTATCTGAGGGTGGACATTTTTCGTTCAGGTTTCCTTCTGTTACACCACAGTCCATAAATTATTCCTTATTACCACCGAAATGTATTTTTAATCTCTGGCTTTCAAGCGGAGAAATTTGCCAAAAGAGTTTGGCACAAATTTTCTGAAACGCGTTGCCAAGTCCGCCACTGGGCTTACGCCCAGGAATCAGAAACCAGCGTGAAGGACTGATGTCATACGGCAGAGATACGACTAAAGCAGCAGACTTTGTCGAGGTCACCTATCCACTGTGATACAGCTGCGGAATGGGGTAGAAGAAAGGAAGTGATGACGACGAGGTGTGGGTGGCATTTATCGCATTGGCCAGGATGACCTCTTTTCATCCCATCAACTTTACATCTTTACCCAGGCTAGGCCTCATTGTGTTTTGAAGAGTCACGAGTATTTGTGCACATAGACGGAGGCTGGAGTATCTGGAAAAAACCCACATGCGCAAAATGTAACTACAGCACCACTCCTTTAAGTCAGCTTGAATTGCTGTGCTGTTTCGAGAACCACCTAATTGGCCAGGGATATGGTGTCTTATGTTTTAGAAGGCTCCATCTCTGCATGAGCCACCAACTCTGCCTCTGAGCTTGGTCACAGGCCATGATTTTGTGCTGAGTGATGAACATTCTTCTGAGCCTAAAGGTTGCAAACCTCAAAAGCCAAAATTCTTAATCCCTATTCAAAACCATGTTCGTTTGTAACTTAGTTTCTTCCGTCACGTTTCGTATTGTGTGTACACAGCCAAATGCAATATAATCTACTTTCCTTACAGTCAAATGGCGGTGAGTTTTTACGTCAGCTGTGGGTCCATTCAGCTGAATAGTCTTTTTGCGGTCAATACATTGAGTCACACTACTGCAAGTCAACCTTATCCTTTGGAGAGACTAACCCTGCACAAAGGAATGTGACATTTCCATCCCTGCATTGGAGACATCATTGGAGATGAGCACTGCCCCGACCTCATTTAAGCAGGGAAAGGCTCGGGCAATGTTTTATTAGATATATAGAAAATGTTTTTTGCAGTGTAAGCGCATTTGTGCGCGCACTAACCGTGGTAAGCCTGACTTACGGCTATAGCAGGGCTGTACAGACACTACAAGTAATGGGTGTTTGACCTTGTTGGGGCCACACACCGGTTTGCTTCGGAAAAGACCACAGGTATTGAGAGTCTTGGTGTCCTCATGATGGTATGTGGGTTGCATGTGTACATTTTTTTAGCGGAGTGGTGACATCGTGGTTGATGCATTGCGTTAGTGTCACGTGACCTTGGGTTTGCTCAACAAATGGAAATTTGACTGCTTCGAGGTCTACGACGGTACCTAGTACGGTAGGGTCTTCGGTGGTTACACTTTAACATAATTTTCTGAACTGTCCTTAATAGGTGCTCGCTAACAGCACTTGTGTTGATAGCATATTAGGCTGAAATTGTTGTGTTTATATCATTGTGGCAGTGTGCTTATTATACTGCTTGATACATCCGGAGAAAAAACAGGGCAAGAAATGTGTTTAAAGTTTTAAGTTGTTGATTTAATGGCTTCTCCTAATGCGTGTTTGGAATGCTTTATTGTAGAGGAGTGGGTTTCTTAAACCCAGACGTGATGTGCAGTGTGCACCTGTACAGGTGGCCGGGTGAATCGTCGTGTGCGGGGCTCCTCATCAACGCGTTGATGATTCCATTCTCGTCGTAGGGTATGCGAATTTAAGTGACAAGGAACACTGATTGAGGTGAAGTCAGGGTAAGACTTGTAATTGTTTAGAGAAAGTAACTAAAAGCTCTAAAGTTTTTCTTGGCAGGCCTATGGAAAATGTGTCTATATGAATGCGATATGTTTTAATCAAACGTATGCTGTCAAATGTATTAGCATATTTTTTTATAGGTACTGTACATATGCAGTGGTAAAATATTTTGACTCGATGCCTTGCGTTGCTGAGGGTCGGTCTTGCCGCGGTACAAGCATACATCGCAATACAGCGTACAGATTATTTTTGCACTATGCAAAATGGTTTCATACTTTGTGGTATGTTTGTTTAGTGGCTTCGGTTCTATGCAGATTGATATCCTGGTCAGCCAGCTGCAGATTGATATCCTGGTCAGGAGTTGACTCCGCACCCATCATCTATCACTACTGTGGCGATATAAAACAACAGCCACTTTGTGGATATTCAACTTCAGATATCATGTGGATAGATTCCCCGCCACTATGTGAATGTGGAATTTCCAGAGATGACTGAAGGTCACCGTCAATGATGAGTGAATTCACTTTAATTCCCACACCAAAGTGAACCCAAGTCTCGATTATCCATGGTTATGAAGGAAAGAAAGAATGGCCCTGATTTATAAAAAAAAATGTATAGTCAGAAAAGCAAAACTCGTATAAATTATGCAATAGCAAAGGATATTTTTTATTTTCCTAAACAGAGTAGGAGTGAAGACGTAGAATTTGTTTCAAGTCTTGTCGTAGTTTTTTTCACATAATTGGTCACTGAGTCACGAGTTAGGAGCAGCTAATAATTAAAGCAGCGCGTGAAAAAGCACAAATTAACGTGGAATACCGTTTTTTATATTCCTTTGCCAACGGAGTTAATCCGCAGCACGTTTCATGCGTCCACAGACAACCGAGTTCACGTTGCACGTTTTCTTTTTGCAAGCGTTTTTACTAACTAGTTGTTCTGGCTCCTTAAATACACATAATTAGAGAGCAGTAGAAATGCTTTGATTGAATGGTTTGAAAGCTATTTGGCGTATTTACGGAAAGGCTTGAGTGCGTTTCCCGTAGCATTCAAAACATATACAGCCGAGTTGTTGATGAACATAATAATGACATTTATAACGCGTCAGATTTTGCAGACGGGTCAACAACTCAGAGGCGTAGGGCTGCTCGAAAGCCCTGACCCAACTCGATAGGGGCCTTGAGATGTTTTTTGAAAGTCAGAGTGCATTTGATGTTGCGAACGTGCAAAGGGATAGAGTTGAACACCGAGGGGGCGGCAGCAGAGAACCGACGTGAGGCTGTAACAGTTCGAGACCTTTGAGTGACGCTGCATAGGGTTCGAACATGAGCCTTCAGTGCAAGGCGAGAGCAGCGAGGCGAGGCGTGGTGGGGAACTGGTGGTGAAGGCACGGGACTCTCTCCATAAAATCTCGTTGCGCTCGCCAGGACCGTGACCACGCGCGTCGTTATTTAGAGGGACGGAACTCACGATAAACCAATCGTACTATTAAGTGTGGACCTGTGTAGTTGATTAACCTAGCCCAAACTGCTATCGAAGAATAATTCGTTTATCGTAGATCCTCGAGTGTATCGTAAGTATGGGTAAATTGTATGCCCAGGTTTAAGTTTGTGAGCTGCGTGACGATAGCTTCAGGAGTGGCATGACCAACGCTGTCCATTCCGCTGCAGAGCAGGCTTGGAAGGATGCGGTTGTTAGCAATATGGTCCTTTGATATGGTCCAATATTTGGTTTCTGGTGGCAGCAGCCACTGAACCGCGTGGGTCATCTTTATTTTAACCACTCGTGGAAGATGTGTGTGCAGAGACCAGTCGAATAATATTTCTTTAAAATGGACGATTACACATTTACGCACTTACAGGCACCTGTACTTTTACCCCAGGGTTCAGTTGCGGTAGGACTTGGTGTCTCATTGGGCTCTCCCACCTTGTAAAATAAAGATCACCGATTGTCGGCTGGTATGTTATGTCCACTTTATTATGTTCTCGCAAGCAGCCCATGTCAGAATGGGGTAAATTATCGGTGATGAGAAGGTTGTATCTTACCCGTGTATTGACAGTTCAATTTTAATGTGCAGTTTTATTGAGGGGGTGGGGGGATGTGTTGTTTTGGTGTGTTCTGGGACTGATTTTGTTGTTGCTTCATCGCTGTCTTGTCCAAGCTTGCATTTGGTATTGAAAAATCGGCAGGAATTTATTTATGCAATTTGGACTGATATACTTAATTATTTTTCGTGACTTACTTTTCTCTATTTTGCATATCTATATTTTTTTGTATGGTTTGTTGTAACTTGCTGACCTGCCCCTTCTGGAGGAAACCTCACTGTATTCTTCCAGTTTAAATAAAGATTCTGATTCTGAGGTACAATAAATCATACATAAATGCTCATAGTTAGCTGATATTTTGTGAACACCTGATGACGTGGGATGTAATCTCCAGCGATATTGTCAAAACTGTTGCTTTTCAACATTCACTATTGACTGAAAAACAAAATCAATTGGTATATTCGCCCAAATAAGGACCACTTTGTGGGGGGGGGGGCAGCAGTGGTTATCCCATGGAGAGACCGGCCCTCACCACGGCAAAGTCGACTTTCCACCACTGGCGGCTCGGGACCCACCAACGGAGATGAACCCACCACCACGCGAGGTGCATCTTAAGAAAATGAATTATTTAATCCATGCGGCACCCTCTCTCCTTTCCCCCCGGCAGCGACATGATGCTGACACTAACTCGGGTGGGTGCCGCCTGCCGCACCCGTCTGGCTGCTGCCCCCAGGGCGCTGGGGGTTGCCCAGGGACCGCCGCTGGCCATGAGCGTGCGTTCTTTGCAGGTGGAGAATGGCTACGTGCAAGCCATGTACCAGGAGTGGATGCAAGACCCGAGCAGTGTACACCAGGTGACGTGCGTCTGCCAGTGTGTGTGGTGACGGGGTGGGGGCTGCTGTGGCACATTACACTATCATGCCCGACTTGATTGATACGAGCTGTTTAGCAATGGCCCCAATAGCCTGTATGGCTATAGGAGGATATTTGTCTTTGTGTGTGCACTGGGCAGTGGAAGTGTAGCGGTTAGCACGCTGCGCTGCGAACCCGGTGACCCGAGTTCGATTCCTGCTCACGGCCATTATTTGAACTGGTCCTAGGCCTCCCCTAGGTCGACTGAGCCTCAAATGAGTACCTGGTGCAGTGTGTAAGCATCGCCACTGTGGAGACGAATGCGGTCGGGCGTGGGGTTGGCCACCCACCCCCTCGTGTGCTTTGCCGGCCTTCATAGGTGTTCGCTAACAGCACTTGCCCTATCAGTCTGTTAAAGGCTATGCGGGGAAACGTTGTCTTTTGTGTGCACTGCGTTACGAACCTCGGTTCCATTCTTAGCCATGTTTTACATAAATGTAAAATGGTATCTAAACCGGTCCTGGGTTTTCCGTAGGTCTACAGAGCCCTAAATTCAGCCGCTTGTGATGCGTGTAATCATCATCACTGCAGACACAAGTGGCTGAGCATAACTTTGACCAAACCAAAATAATGCCTCGGCAACCTTTAGGTGTTCACTAAGGAGCACTTGGTCCAATAGTGTGTGTGCATTTAGGAATGTGATTTGGGTTTCTGGTGAGTTGTTAATTGCAGTGAGCATGTTCGTATTTACGGATATGTACCGTACACTGTGTGATGCATTTGTGGGAACACGTGTGTGTACGTGACGAAAGAATACTCTCTTGCAAAGCTTTTGTATGCAAGAAATAAACTTAGAGGGGGAATTGACCAATACGGCACTCTTGCCACAACCCTAGCATTAACAAGTCGATGCCTGCAGTTCCCTAAGAGTTGAATGTATTGACGACAGAGCTTTCCTTTCTGTCTCTACAACCTATTGAAGCTTCCTCCTACGTAAACAATTCAAACTAATTTAACAAATACCCCCCCACGTTCCTATTCAGATCTGCACAAAATAACACCGTCGCATGGCATTGTGCGCTGACCAAGTCAGAATCCAAGTACAGTAAAACCTTGGATTGCGAGTAACATTGTCTGCGAGTGTGTCGTTATGAAAGCATCGCAGTAACACCACCCTTGCGGCATTGCGCAGGTCTTCCTTAACTAGATCACGGCTCTCGGCCTCGCATGTGATTATTAAAAGGTTTGTTGATTTGTTAAAAGTCAAAGTGTTTTGCATGCGTGACGTTCCCCATGATCGGCCATTTTGTGCCATTACTGAAGCTGGGCCCATACCTGCAGGATGAGTTCCGTAACCAGATACCTCTTGAAGTCGTGCAACTTAATCTTTGTCTGCAACGGTTTTGTCCACTTTTCTGAGGGAGTCATTGCACAACACGGAATCGAAACGGAATTTTCAGACTTGTAACAACCAAATTGTAGTTTGCAAATGTGTCCCGTGGTGATGAAAATACATGGCTGCAAATTGCCACCGAGCAGATGGACACTTGAAAATAGTCCTGTCTTCTGTCAGAAACCAGTTGTGCGACTGGTTGCAGAGACATCCACATTCGTGCAATTCAATTGCATACAACTGTGATGTAAATGTATTTTTTTTCAATGTCCTCTCATTGGACCAGCAAAGAGAAATCTGGCACGGCGGTCAAAGCCCTCGACTTGGTAGGAAAGCAGCGAGTGCAAATCCTGGTCTACAGTCAACTCAGCTGAGAATGTCCACCACTGGCTCAGAACGGCCAAACAACGGCTCCTGCTCATTTGAGTAGGAAGAAAATTTGAACCATGTCATGACCATCCTCCACTAGTAAGGTGGCATACATGGGAACACGTGGCGAGTTGCGCATGAAGGTGGTGGTTATATGTTGGTAATCCTGCTGAATCCAGTGAATGTGAGCACTGGGCTGAAAGTCATCACAGAAATGTATGAAAAAATGAATACAGACTCACTTTGTTTGACGACTAACCGAACGACACCCTTGTCCCCATGTATCCCCGTCTGATCCCAGTCGTGGGATAATTACTTTAGAAGCACGAACCTCGGGAGCCCCTCGCTTCTGAGCAGCGTGCAGACGAGCCCAGTGAACGAGAAGACCGTGTCCGACCACATGAACGTGCACAAACTCATACGCGCGTATCAGGTACACGTGTGCCTTGGCTTGTGTGTGTACGAATGTATACCTGTGTGTGTGTATTTGATGTGAGAGTGTAGCGGTTAGCGCGCTACGCTATTTACCTGGCGACCCGGGCTCGATTCCCTTTCACGGCCAACACCAGTGACGATAATCTTAACCGGTGCTGGGCTTCCCCTAGGTGGACTCAGCCTCAAATGAGTACCTGGTACGATGTGTAAACACTGCCACTAAGGATACAAAGGCGGCCGGGCATAAAAATACACACAATAATTTAAGTAAAATTCCCAGATTTTGCACAAAGTGGCCAAGTGTCCAACGTGTCTCGGGCACCCCTCAAGTTGACTCGGCCTTAATTGGTGTGTAAGTATCAGTACTGGGGAAACAAAGGGATGGAATATTGTGCATGCCAGATTAAATAGGCGCTCGCTAACAGGCACTGGTACCAACGGTCAATCAGGGGAATCTGTCTTGCGTGTTTTTTTATTGGCGTGTGTTTATGTCACAGTGTCTCCCTTCTCAAATATTCATGGGGTTGTGGTTATCTCTCTCCTGGTGGCCCTGAACCATAACCCCATATCCAGACGAATGAACAGGTATGGGTTCATCTGTAGGTGTGTAGTCACAATTGTGGAGCAGTGACGCATGTGGCTAGTGCACTGCACTATGAACCCAGCAACCCGAGTTGGATTCCCGCTCGGGACCAATAACAGTGGCGCATATTTGAACTGGTCCTGTGTCTCTCGTAGCTCTACTCAGCCTCAAATAAGTACCTGGGGTGATGCGTGAACATTACTACTGGGAAGATAAAGGTGCGGTGTTGACCATCCATTCCCTCGTGTGCCACGTGGGCCTTCATAGGTGCTCGCCAACAGTACTTAACCCAAGAGTCTGTTAAAGACTATATGGGGGTCTTTGTATTCACAAGTAACCTGTTGTATTTATATCGCACACACACAAACACACACACACAAACGCACACACACAAACGCACACTCACAAACACACAAACGCACACACACACAAACGCACACACACACAAACGCACACACACTAACACACACACACAAACGCACACACACACGTACAAAACCACTCTTCCACCAGGTGCGAGGACACCTAATCGCCAAGCTGGATCCCCTGCAATTGCAGAACCAGGACCACATTGTGGAAAAGGATCTCATCTATGACATGAGCAGCCTGGGTACGTCTCTCCCAACAAGACTGGGCACAAGATGGTCTTGGCCTTTGACAGTGGCTCAGTAAAATGTTTTGCACAAGCCAACTTCATAACATTCGTCCGATACTTAGTGTTGTTTATTTATAGTAGTCACGGCTGTAGAGGTTTCATTATTTCTTTTAAGGGTGCCGTTAAACGCTTATCGTTGTGTTCAGTAAATACCATGTCCAACCGTTAAAACGTTGGAGGACATTTTAAACTAAATTTATAGTTTCATGGACGTGAAAATACGCAAACAGATTGCTTTGAAACCAAACATTCTATCGATAGTGCTGCCTCATCAGGCGGTGTTCCTTTGTCCAACCCTAGAGGCACGATATTAATCATGATTCCTGACAATGGGAACTATAGTGTAACTTCTCATCCTTGGCTGGCATTTGAGCTTACGTCTTAATGTGTAAGGAACCTTAATGCATGTCTCGCTTAACAAGCATTCATTTTACGAGAACGAGCAATTTGAATTTAGCCCAATTTGTTAGTGAAACGAGCAAATGTTAGCATAACAAGCGGAGAACGATTGATAAAATGTGTCCCGTCGCAGGGTGCCACCACGGCATGCTGCTATTTGCTTAGCTGCTGTGCTGTACTGTACTGCGTAAGCACGTGATTTGGGTGGGTGCGGGTGGGGGCCTCGTGGTAGCACCGTATGGGTGGGTAGGTGGGTGGCTGGAGGGGTTTGTGTGTGGGGAGTGGTGGAGCAACGGTTAGCCTGCGGCACTACGGAATCTGACGTCCCTGAGTTACATTCCCGCCAACACCAGTGACGATTACCTGAATCGGTCCTGGGCCTCTCCTAGACTGACTTAGACTCAAACAAGTACCTGGTGCAGTGTGTCAATTTCACCACTAGTGAGACAAAGGCGACCGCGCGTGGTTCTGACACCACCTCTCGTGTGCCCTTCCCAGCCTCCAACGGTGCTCGCTCGCAGCACTTGGCCCAACAGTCTGTTAAGGCTATTTGGGGAGCTTTGTCTTTGGGGGGGGGGGGCGGTGCGGGAAGTCGGTTTGTTTGCATGTATGAGAGACGGAGAGAGCGCAAGATGGCTGTATGATTGAGTGGAGAGAGTGTGAGCGTGTTGATTTCGAATATGGGGCTATACAGGAGATCTTGCACTGTAGTTCTTCATGTGTGGTAAGTGTTAAAATTGATGTTGTATTCCCCTTTTTATCGTAATAAGTATTTCTTATGTTAAAACGGTTGTTCAAGAGTGGAAAATTTTGGGGGCAGAAACCTAATTCAGCTTTTAACATGGGAGTCAATGGGAAAACGATGGTCGTTTCACGAGTGTTCGCTTACCGAGCAATTTTGGCAGAACGTATCTCACTCGTTAAACGGGACACGCCTGTATTTGTTGGCAGCACTATGCCAGTGAGGTTGCTTTGCATCCCTTACAGAGTGTACTGGAATATTCATAAGTCTGTCAATTCATCATTTGGCATTGTCAATAGAAGGTGCGCTAAAGGCCGTGCCTGTTTGCGTCTTCATCTCTCAACGTAGTCTGCGATGCCACAATGCATCTCATTCCTGCACATGAACTTATCCTACCGTTTCGTCTCTGTGGCGTTAGTCCTTTCGGCTGCCATTTTACCACGAGTATCGGTCCTTTAGCCGTCATCCTCGTTGGGCATGGGCCCAACCCTGGTATTATTTATGGTTCACGTGACATTTCTGATTTTAAAATAAGAAACGACATTACTTTGTCCATTCACTGCTGGATAAAGCCCCCCCCCCCCCCCGTGCCTCGTGTCAGCCATGATGGTTATTTTTGCCATACTTCACACTGATCATTGCGAGTTGGTGAACAGGTGTTTATGATTACATGAGTAGTACTGTATTATTACTTTGGGGAGGGGGGGGGCAGTGGGGTACAACATTGGCGAGTGATAGCGAGTTGATCTTTGACCTCGATAGTGAAGCCATGAGGGATGGGAGATGGCATGGGGAGACCTTAATTCAACAGTGGACTGACAATTGACGATGGCTGTTGGCATTTCACAGTGGTATTCATTTTTCTTCCCCAGAGAAATTACAGCGTGATGGGCTGTTTTAACCTCTGATTATTTCAACTTCACTGTTATGTTACTTTAACATGGAAAAGCCTTGCTGAATGTCAAGACTCATTTTCAGGACGGTCTTTGTTCTGTGATGCTTGGCCAATTCCTTGGGAGAAAACCAGAGCATTCTGACAACATCCACACAATTGTGTCAGAAACTTAATTTCTTAACTATCTGCCAAGTGTTTGGATTACAAGCGGGGGAGAGGGGGCCACCACCAGACAAATTTACACCGTAAATGATTAATGGGTGGTGTGCCTTTGCAACTATGACCGGAACTGATGACCTTCACGAAAGAGGTAATATATCTCAGCGGACTTACAGCTGCCGGCTTTATTGACGTCTGCGCTTGAAGAGCAGTGCAGGTTAGGCGGTGTGGGCATGGGGGTGACGTTATGCAGCCCGTATGGTTCAGAGTTGCCTTTATCCAGCGTGCGGCGGTTGTGCCGGTCTCTGGGACCTGGCGAAAAGGAACATTTGTGCACCTTTATCTGGGGTCAAACATTGAGCGTACAGTATTTTCGCTGTTAGTGCTGCTTACCCAAGCAGGAGAGCGCTCATCGAGATAACAGGGCAGTGCTTTGTCATCCCAGTGTAGTAAGGTAGGAATAGGTATAATAATTCGTAAAGAGTAAATTTTTGCTTAGTTTTGTTCACTCCATAAGCATCAATGTAACCTCCGTTTATCATTTGAATGTAGTTTTTAATAACTGTAAAAATTGTCCCACACACGCAATTGCGTGCTGTACTGGAATAATAATTGTGAGCATAAATCCTGTTGGGTGATGCTGCTGTTAGAACACTTAGCTTACAATAAACAAAAAAGACTCAACACACTCGTCAACAACACTGCCCTCAAAGAAAAAAAGTATAATTAGTGACATTGGCCCTTTTTCATCACACATAAACAGAGGCCAGAAAGATAGAGCTCATAAGGGTTGGAGACTGCCCTAAACATCATGGGGCCTGATGAAAATTATACTTTAAAAACATTTTCCGATGATAAGTTTTGAGATGTGTTTATGAATATTTACCTAATAGTAGCTTTTGAGTACCAGAAAAATCCTCCAATTAAACAACAGTGTTTGCAGAATACATGCATTAATATGAGAAGTTTAATTATAAAATGTTGAAACAGTGCATTGTGGGAATGTTTGTTCGTGTGGGGGCTAGGCACAGCCCCCACTAGCAGTGCATCCATAGACCCACCGACCACTTCAATGGAAGGAATTTGACAGCCTTGCATTTCTGAGCCAAATTATTTGGTGATACAGCAGAGGTGGCAGTGGGTGCACAAGCACGATTGGGAAATAAACTAACAAGAGCAAAACACACTTTTGGGAAGATTCTGAATTGAAATCATGGCCGAGGTCATCTCAAAGTCTACCTCACCTCCTAGGTTGATTCAGGGAGTACCATTTTGTTAGAAGTCACGAGTGAGTGGGTGTCCAATGAATAAACAACCTCTTCCTCCCCTGCCATAGGAATGTGGAATGTACACGACAAGCTTAAAGCAGCATGAGGTGGTGGTACTCTGTTGGCAGCTGTCTAACTCGTGGAAATTCCATATTCTTCTGACAGGGGTTCTGAATATCAAAACTGGGGTAACTTACAGAGACAAAGAACCAACGTTGGGGCAAGTGTTGTTAGCATGGGTGTAAAAAACCCGATTTTTCCAGCGGCAGGCATCGAGTTTTTTCTTTAATACAATTAAACCCGATTTCGGGGAATTAAAACCTGGTTTAATGAATACGAAACTCTCATAGGCTTAGGCTGCTTCCTCGTCGGTGCTGCTATCGTACTTGCGGCCGTCGGGCACGGGGTAGTCGTAGAATGCGGCGGGCAGGTTGGTCTTGATGAACACGAGCTTAAAGCCCATCGCTGAGAAGTTGGTGAAATACGGTTCTGCAATTAGAACCAATTAAGCCGGATTTCTCCCAGATGATCGGGTTGAATATAAAAAGACAATTAAACCCGATTGTAAAAAACCCGACTGTGCCACCCTTGGTTGTTAGTGAGCGCCTATGAAGGCAGGCATGGCGCACCATCACACCTGGCCGCCTTTGTTTCCCTAGTGCTGATGTTTACACATCGCACCAGGAACTAATTTGAGGCCGAGGTGACCTATGTATATATGTTTAACTTTCGTACCGTACGTAGCTAACCAGAGGTGCTAACCAGAGGTGCGACCTTGGAGAGACCCGGGACCAGTTCAGATAATCGTCACTGGTGTTGGCTCACGTAAATTGTTTTTAGTAATTTGACCCAGTACGCTAACAAAATGAGTGGTTAAAACAGTCGCCGTTACACGATCTACAGCCTCAGTCCAGTGTAGTTACACAACACGCGGTTATACAATGGGCCATTAGTGTCACTGTGTCATAACACTGAAGTGCACTCACATCCGCTGGTTTGTTGACCAAATGCACTGTGCTGTTCCATGCGGTGTGGATGTGTTTGTATGTTGCTAAGTCCCTGCTTAGCTTCGCGTATTCTTAGGGTGGGAGGGAGTGGTGGTGCAATGGATCAAATCCTCGTCATTCTTGCTATGACGCGAGATGTTAACTACCTGCAGGAGGTCGTGGGTTCAATCCCGGGCCCTGATGCCCTGTATATTTGGGGTTTGCGTGTTTTCCCTGTGGTCCGTGTGGTCTGTGCGGATTTTTCTCCAGGTCCTCCGGTTTTTCCCCTCCACATTTAGAAACATGCGTTGAGAGTATTTGGCTGCTATACATTTCCACATGATAAGCCACTTCATTCAGCTATCATTTGTGGCCAGATCGATTCTGAAAAAGAGCTATATAGCTCAGTGGGCCTTGCCTAGTAAAATTTACATCAGTTGGGCGTTTTCCACCCCTTGCAGAGGTTCATGGTTCGAATCCAGTAGCTAATCTGATTATCACTGTGTGTAATAACCATACGTGCTGTCTGATTCACAGTAGACGATAAAGATGCCCTAACGTCATATGCAAGAGTAGGCCAATGTGGGCCGGTGTCGAGATTCAAATTTGCAAAATTTCAAAATGACACATAAATTACTCAGTTGGGATAAAACACGCAGCAATCATCGCCCGCTATTGGCAGTCTAATGGCCCGTGGTGACTTTTGCAAATTAAGCTAGGCTATCCTTGTCTCTGGAGTTTTCGACCATTTAAACAAAATAAACTCAATCGGCACTGGGGAGTTGTGGATAGATGTTGTGCTGACAACATTGTCCCATCTTGTACCAGATCACTCATAATAGGCTCTCGCAAACAGCACTTAACCCTGTGGTCTATAAGAATAAATTTGATCTCTTTAATTGTTGACAAGGGTGTGAATGGCAACACGATATTGATTTGAAAGTGCACCTGGGGCGAATTCACACACACATCAACCCCAGCAGTTTCCTTCATTCCACACAGGTCCAGTCTCAAACTGGAGAAACTTGATTCTCGAGTTATTCTGCCAGAAGATAATTGCTTGGTTCTGTTTTTTTAGTCCGGCTCCTCCAGTTTATTCCTGACGAGGCAAAAATTGTGCAGGCATATCCAGTTTTCACGCATCATGGCAAAACATGAAATTTGCCAAAATAGTCAGTCAATCAGATATTATTAATATCCTTCCCTCAATCTACAAATGGATGAAGGCCTCCCTCTGCACGCCGTGTCGGTCGTAAAGATTGTTTCGACTCTACTTCACACACCAGTTAAGTTCAAACATGCCTTTCAATGGAATGCGGTTGCATAGCTCTTAGCGTGAACCACTGATTTGACGTACCACCGCCCCCAGAAATGAGTGAAAAATATCACAGTTTACCCCCACCCCACTCAAGTAATAAGGTGACAACTCCTCTCTGCTGACTTGACATTTCAGACTGAAAAGAGTGAAATTGGTTGTTATGATGGTTAAAAGGTAATTATATAATGACGCATCAGTTGATTACAGTTGATGAAATTGCTCGCGATATGTGCATGTAACAATAGATTCAGATTTATGTAAATTATATGGAAATTTAATAATAATAGCTTAAATTGAAAAAGCGCCCTTTAACAATCCTTTTCAGGGCGCGATAATGTACATGTGCTGTGGGAAATTCTCACAGTGCTGTGCATTTTCAAAGTCAATTGCACGTGTGTTTGACCGGCTAGCTGGTGCCAATGTCACGCGCCACCTCGCGTACCAAGTGCAAGTTCGTTATTTATTTTCAATATCGCAAGGTTGACCGGACATGAACTCACAGTAGCTCATGCCTTCTCCGCCCCAAGCCAGTTACGGGTTCCTGGAGTCCGACCTGGACCAGACGTTGAAGCTGCCGAACACGACCTTCATCGGCGGGGACCGCTCTGATCTGACCCTGCGAGACATCCTACAGCGTTTGAAGGCACGCACCCGTGGACGCGCACACAAGCTCCGCCGCAAACACACGGCGATGGTCGTACCGAGCTGCTCGTGCACCCTGCTGGCCTTCATGTCTGCTCATTAACAGCACTTGCCCAAACAGTCCGTGAAAAGTCTATAGGGGGATATTTGTGTTTTGTCTGTGTGCGTGTGTGAATTTAGGATGTTTACTGTGGCTCTATTGGGGTCGAGTTCATGTTCATCAATGACCGGGAGCAGTGCCAGTGGATCCGGCAGCGCTTTGAGATGCCCGGTGCCGGAACGCTCACCCCGGCCGAAAAGAAGCAGCTTCTCATCCGCTTGCTGCGAGCCACCCGGTACATCCCAACACGACGAGGCCCTTGCCTGCCTGCCTGGCTTCCTGCCTACTTGGCTACCATACTTCCTACCCATTTAACTACATACCCACCTACTTGCCCACACCTACCAACAACACACATGTCCATCTATATATGTTTGCACCAACCTACTTGCCCAACTTTCTACCCACAGACTGAGCTTCTGAGATACTTAGCTACTCACTGACGCTTATATACTGAGGTTCAAAACTACCTACCCACTAGCCTTCCCATGTACCACCCATCTGCTTATCTGCTTACCTATATCGCTACATATTTTTACCCACCTACCCAACCATATACTCATCAACCCACTCATTGAAATAACTACATAGACACCAACCCATCTACCTATGCACACACCCACTTACATATTTACCAACTGCCTGCCCATATATATCCACGACCTAGCTACCGCTTACCTACGAACATTCCCTCTTAGCGGCTTTCCTACCCGCCAACCTACCCTCCAGCTTACCGACCTACCCTCATGACTACGACCCCGCGTGCCTAATAACCACCTTGCCCGCCTGACCACGTGTGTTTATCGTAGCTTCGAGGAATTCCTGGCAAAGAAGTGGTCGTCGGAGAAGCGCTTCGGCGTCGAAGGCTGCGAGATGCTCGTGCCGGCGCTCAGGACCATCGTGGATTGCTCCAGCGTCATGGGCGTCGATGCCATCACGCTCGGCATGCCTCACCGGTACCGCACGGCCGGCCCGGCAGAGAGCCGCAGCCGCGCACTCGCTCATGGCCCAATGAGGCCTTCTCTCAAAGCCCGCAGTCAGCCTTCACTCAATGGGATGTCACTCCTCCGCTGCTGTTGCCCCGCGCTCTCCGAAACATATTTCCTCTGACAGTCTGCACTGTGGAGACCCCCTCCCTCAGTTCAAGTTCAGGATAAAAAAAAAAATGTCTGTTCTGAATGACCGATTGTCGCTCTGTAAAAAAGTGTCTTCGTACACACTCTACCATAACCAGTGCTCTCTCTATAGCCTATTTTACCGAAGCCCTGCTTCTTTGCCCTTTCAGTAATACCTTTCCTTGAAAATTGCCGTTTCCAAACGTTGCTTGGCCATTTGTTTCAATAAGGCCAGGGGCGCTGATAGGCCATGCCCTCTACCCTACGCCATGCTCTTTGTACCCTAGACTACGCCCCTCTACCTGAGGCCTCAACAATGGGATGTGACTCATACCGTGCACGTGCGTGCCATTTGGCGGGGAGAGCACTATTTGGGTTGTGTTATTGGTGGCCTTGCGAGTGGGTGTGGTTGGGAAAGGTGGTGTATATGTATCTTTTTATAAGCAATATACGAGTGGTGTAAAGTGGTTAGCGTGAGTGGCTTCTGTGTGTGTACGTCACTTACATTCTCTTTGTTAATCCTCTGAGCTGGATCATTACCTACCTCTTCGAGCCCTGCAGGTCGTCCTGGGGATTATTTGACCATACTTCACTACGGGAGTTCTGAAAGGGGGGGGTATATAGGTTGAAGCATGGAAGTATGGTACAAAAGGGGATTTTGCTGCAGTGCTGATAACTCGGCCTAAACATGTGTAAAAGTGCACGCTGCAGGAGCCCTCAAGATAATTTAGCAACGGGACCTGATAAAGTTGTCTCATTTCTCTGTCTGGGTTTGAGAATTCTACCCCTCATTCGCTGCCCTAACAACCATGTTCAAACACCACACCTTGAAACAAGTTCTCCTGTCATTGTACAGCTTGATCAAGATAGTGAAGCACACGGAGCCACCTGGCCCTCCTCCTCCACATTGACAGTTATTGTTACCACGAACAAATCACTGTCTGGCCGGGCAGCACCGCATAAGAAGAATGTTCAAATCGCAGTCAGAAGGTCACGGAGCCGAGCGTCTTCACCTCAGCCCAGAGTCCGCAAAAGGGGGTGTGCCGCCACACAACACACAGCTTATTGTTATCTAAATAATAACACGGGGACCCCCCAAACGTCTGCAGGACCCATAAAAAGCGAGTAGCTGGCCGGTATAGAGAGCGACTAATTGTCATGTGAATGTGTGCAAACTCCACCGCTGGCTCGGAGCCGCCAGTGGAGGTGGACGTGCGCCACCGCAGTACTCGTTTAAGCAGCAGACACACTCACCTGACTTTTAACTCTTTTTTTTCTCGTTGGTTTAGGGGCCGACTCAATGTCCTGGTCAATGTGATCCGCAAGGGCCTGGATGAGGTCTTCTGTCATTTCGACTCGAAGCTTGAACCGCAGGAGGAGGTGAGCACTCAAAAATCGCTTCGGTGTCACCGTGGAATTGACGTTTTTGCGGTACGAGGCCGTGTTTTCCAGTTCCCCAGGGCCAACTGGGGTGAAAAAACACAATATAATTAATGCTCAAGCGCATTGGGGGGAAGGTGTGTTGAGGGGGTGGTGGGGTGGGGTTCAAAAATAACTAACTCCACTGTCCAGAGGCTTGTTATCATAATGCTATAGAAATACGCACTGCAAAAACCACGGATCGTGACTGATGATATCGGCTTTAATTACACCACATAATTACACAACTGCATTCAATATATCTAACTCAGCTTAGCAACATTTATGACAATATGCAAACTTTATGTGGAAGCGCAACACAACTGTACTTAACACAGTTAACGCAGAAAAATCTTTATGTGCTTATGCTCTTTTCCACTGCAGTAACAGCCTGCTGTGCGCTGTTAATATAGAGATTCACATCTTTCATTATTATAGAACTTTTAATTTTTATCTGCATTTCAATAGAAGAATGCACGTCTAATGTTGAGCAAAGAAATTGCTTTAAATGGACACATTATCATACAATTAAAATACTTCAATTAATTATCGCCGCTCGCGAGTGTAGAGCATTTCATGGAAATTGGTGCCAAATTGGTCAGCCTTGTGCACATGAAAAAGTGAAGTGGGAAACATTCGCCACGGTCTACGCCTCCACGCTCGGGAGAACCGAGTTGACGCGTCACGCTGAGCTCATCATGCCACCGAGGTCGTGAAGCCACTGAGGTCACGATGCCACCCACAGCTCTGTTTAGCTGCAGGCTCCTGAAAACTGGAAAAAGCGGCTTTTTATTGCACGCAGCTACAGCTGCGGTAGATAGACGCCTTACTTTTTTTACGTGATACAAGAGTGTCGCTTGCAACAAATGCATGGCAAACGGCCTGTGCTCAACTTAAGTTCATCGATCGGTTAAGGCCGGATATATACCGGCCAAACATCCCAAACACAATCGACCCTGCAAGTTACTTTTTGCAGAGTAAATGGATACTTTTAATCCTTCAACAAATAGTACAAATGTCGGTGCAAATGTATTTTTTTGAAATCCTTGTTAATTTAATGCAAACATTTAAATGCGAATAATCTATATATATATATAAAAGGGAAATTTGTGAATGTGTGTGATTGTTCGAAATGTTTAGCATACTTCCCAACAAGCAACAAACTTGAAATTTGGCATGTGGGTAGCTTCCAGACTACACAATGCAAGAAGTATAAACATAGACTTTTGTATTTTTGGGGGGGGGGGGGGCGCAATAATGGATATATTTTGCACGGCAAGTGAGCGGTGACGACATCACATCTGTGATGTCACCCGCATGCGGCAGCGTGACGCAGTGTGCCTGCTGACGTCACGCATCCCCCCCCCCAACCCTCCGTGTAGGCCGTGTATTAAGACAAGAATCCAAGTCTCGGGTGAAGCCGGGTAGTAAAGCTAGTTATTATTATTATTTCCATCAAGGTAGTGCTGTGGCACAACATTTGATTCAATCTAAATGTATACAATTTTGAGGTAGAATGAGCCTATCATCCATCTCTGGTTGCTAAAATCGATACCACTCTGTGGCAAGCCAAAAGGCACAACCGATTGGATTATGAAATTTCTACCACTGCTTAGGGCCACAGAAAAATAGATGACCGTGGCCCGTTGCTCGTTTGAGCATTCGCATACTTTGACTTTTATGAATATATCGTATACCTTTTCACCACTGCTTGTATCATAATCCATTGCGTCCAATCACCGTAGTGCTTTTGAATGTACGTCACGAGCCATATAAATGTCTTTTCTGAGCTCCTTCAATCAGCAGAACATCACGCCATGTCCAGGGAATGGCCCCTGAACATGACACAACTAAAACTATTCTCGAGTTACCTCGACAGACGGACCTCTCTAACCCCAACACTAGACAATGCCCCTTCATTCTTTACAAAGAGTGGATTGCCATATTTCGGTCATTAATTGTCATACGATATTTTAAAAAAGTGCAGCTGGCTGGCACGTGTGCTGGCCAGAAGTGCGGTGGTGACGTCGCCACGCTCACCTGCGGGGGTTCGTGCGTCGCACTGACGTGTGACGGCTTCCTCTCGCCCTCACCACCCCAGGAGTGTATCCCGCACAAATGCGCGGACAGTGCTGGTAAAAACATAACAGCTCTCAGGAGTGGACCTGGATAAATAAAGTGAAAATTTAATTCAGACAATGTTACATAGGCCAGATCGGGCAACCGGAATAACACAAAGTATAAACTCGAACAGTTGCAGACTTATGACATGTATTGCGGAGGAGGGAATGAGCATTGAGGGCACGGTAACCACTGAAGATTATGAAGCTGTGGCCTGGCTTGGCCAAATGTTTCCCTAATGCTCATTCGAGCATTAGTGCGGCAGCGTTTATCACAAGTTGTCGTGGCTGTAACCTCGCCCGTCCAACTTCTTCATGCACAACAGGGCTCGGGCGATGTCAAGTACCACCTGGGCATGTCGCATCAGCACATCAACCGGCTGTCGGGCCGCAAGCTGAAGCTGTCGCTCGTCGCCAACCCCTCGCACCTGGAGGCCGTGGGGCCCGTGGTGCAGGGCAAGACGCGCGCCGAGCAGTTTTACCGCGGCGACACCGAGGGCAAGCAGGTGAAGGGCAGCACGCGGGCTCTCGCAGGCTTGCACCTTCACACGCGTTGGCCGGCCGTGCCGTGGAATCCAGCACGTGCCCATGGAACTAAACTTGAGAAAATGTTGTTAAATGCCACGGTGTTAATGTTAACTTCCTCGCCTGGTATACAGGAGGTCGTGAGTTCGATCCCGACCCTGACGCCTACATATTTGGAGTTTGCATGTCTCTCTGCCCATGGATTTTTGTCCGGGTCCTCCGGTTTTTCCCTCCACATTTAGAAACATGCATTTTAGAATATGTGGCCACTATAAATCTCCACACGATAAGCCACTTCGTGGAACTATCGTTTGTGGCCACGTCGCTTCTGAAAAAAGAGATATATCGCTTAGTGGGCCTTACCTTGAAACATAAAAATTATTTTGTTTATTTTAGAGTTCATGACCCTGCTTTGGGTTATCCCCTTGTATGTATCGGTTTTCTCTGGATGCTCTTTAGTTTTTTCCCACATGCAAAATACTGCGTTGAAACATGAATTGGCCAAACATCTCTGTATTTAGGCCCCTCCGAAATTATTATCTTTGGGAAAATGTGTTACTTTAATTACCGAGTGCCTCTGCATGGCCAGGTTTAATTGGGAAGCTATGCCAGAGCCTGACCAAGGCGAAAGCCAGCTCTGTGACCTGTTTTACCTTGCCATCACTCTCTATTCTCCCTCCGAATCCATCACGTGACTCAAGGTGTGGTTTGTCCTGATGCCTTGCCTCAAACCTCCGCATCACCACACCGATTGTAATGGTTCGTTATGTACGGTACGAAAGAAGAAGCTCAACATACATACAAACCGTACTTTGGTTTCTTAAAGAAGCAGCATGTTGTTGCGCTGAATATTATGTTGTATTGTGTTCTGGATAAATTATTTTGTAATGTAATGTATTGTGCTGCATTGTGCCCCATTGTTACGTGTTATGGATTATTGTATGGTATCGTCCTCTTATTCTGCCGTGTTGTATTGTGCTGTGTTGAATGCTGCATTGCAATACATTGAACTGTATTGTAATGTGCATTGTTCCATTGTGCTGTGTCGTTTCGTCTTGTATTGTGCTGTAACATATTGTATTGTGCAGATGTATCACGTGCTGCATTGCATTGTCCTGTGTTGTTGTGCGGGAATGTATTGTCCAATCGTATTTTTCTGTTTTCATTGTGCTGCTGTGTTGTGCCCCCAGGTGATGTCTGTGCTCATCCACGGGGACGCTGCATTCGCGGGGCAGGGAGTCGTCTACGAGACGTTTCATCTGAGCGACCTGCCGGCGTACACCACCCACGGCACCATACACCTGGTCGTTAACAACCAGGTGTGATGTACTTACGGCTGTGCATGTCTGTGCATGTCTGTGCGGATGTTGCGAAACTGCGGTGGTAGCGTAGTGGTTTAGCGCACTGCGCTACGAACCTGGCGACCAGAGTTCGATTCCTGCTCGCGGCCGACGTCGGTGATCGATATCTGAACTGGTCCTGGGCCCTCCCGAGGGTGGACTCACCCTTGAATAAATGTCTGGTGCCGTGTGTAAATGTCAGTGCTGGGCAGACAAAGGTGGCTGGGTGTAGTGTTAGCCGCACCACCCCTTTGTGATCTGTGCCGGCCTTCATAGGTGCTCACTAGAGCACTTGGCAAAAACAATATTTATAGGCTACATGTGATAACTTTGTGTAAAAAAAATAATTTTTATGTGTATGCTTTTTGGTATGTGTGCACGTATGCAGTGAACGTGTATAAATTTACACGACGGCTGGCCAAACCACCCCCATATACAGACAGTGTTGGCCACATCACCCCTTTGGGTGCCTAGCCAACCTTCATAGGTGCTTGCTAACAATACTTGCCCCGATATACGTGCATGCGCGTGCATGCACATGTATTTGTTTGTGTTCATGCATGTTCGTGTACACATCGGTTTAATACGTGGGCTCTCGCGACCAATATTATACAAAATAAAGGTAATTTTGGTTAGATCACGTAAATATTAATGTCGTTTACCCACTGCCACTTTAAATATAGACCGAAACAGGAAGACTTCTTCACAATTATGGCAAATCGCCTGATGAAGCTGGTTGTAATCACCAGCAAAACATCATTGTTGTGGGTTTACTCTCCAACACACCGGCGTGCTAAAGTAGTCGCTAATTGGCACGATTTGTTCACGTGACAAACCTTACTAATTGGCCGTGTTGGCTGGTGGTGGTGGGATAACTGCACGTTTATATTTGGTGCACGCGCCTTAGCCCGTGTCTTTTTGCCAATACGCTCGTACTCTCCTGTCCTCGCTGGCCTGCAATCGCCCTGGCCTGTCACAGATCGGCTTCACGACGGACCCGCGTTCATCGCGCTCGTCCCCGTACTGCACGGACGTGGCGCGCGTCGTCAATGCGCCCATCTTCCACGTGAACGCCGACGACCCCGAGGCCGTGACGCACGTGTGTCGCGTGGCGACCGAGTGGAGGAACACATTCCACAAGGACGTCGTCATCGACCTGGTGGGTCCCAGTGGCTCTGTCCCCCGCCAGTCCGCGACGTACGTGGGGGGTGGAGCAGTGTTGCCCAGTGGTTTCGCGTGCTGCACTACGAAACCAACCGCCACGGCTAAAATCAATTAAAGAATGGAAGTAGCTGTTTATCTATTACAACTTTGACGAGGTAACGGTCAACATGTTGGTTCGTGCATATGTGGTGCTTATCGTGGTGTGGGGAGCGCTGGTGTAACGGTTAGCGCAGTGCGCTACGAACCCAGCGACCCGAGTTCGATTCCTGCTCAAGGCCAACACCAGTGACGATTATTTGAACCGGTTATGGGCCTCCCCTAGGTCGACTGAGCCTCAAATGAGTACCTGGTGCGGTGTGTAAACATCGCCACTGGGGAGACAAAGGCGGCCGGGCGTGGTGTTGGCCACCAGGCCTCTCGTGTGCCATGCCAGTCTTCATAGGTGCTTGCTCAAAAGCACTTGCCCCAACAGTCTGTTAAGGCTTTGTCTTTGGTGTCGATCGCAGGTTGGCTACCGCCGGAATGGCCACAATGAAGTTGACGAGCCCATGTTCACGCAGCCGTTCATGTACAAGCGGGTCGCACGGCAGGTGCCTGTGCTCAAGCAATACTCTGATGCCCTCATCAAGGAAGGGGTCATCACGGGCCAGGAGTACAAGGTACCCGGGTTATGAGATCTTTGTTTTTTAGGAGTCACGTCTGGTTATGGGGGAAGAACTCAAATCCTAAGTCATTGCACCTCCCTGCATTTCCGTGAATTGCCACAATCCGGGGTCGCAAATATGATGCAAGACTTGATTATTTTACGTCTTGTGTGTTGTGTCTCATTTTGTAGTGTCTCCTTTATACATTGTGTCTTGTTCTGTCAATGAACTTGAAGGTATATTTACTTCGAGTTGGCATACATTTCCATGCTAATTTCAAACACTTATATCTGTGTTTCATGAGCATAAGGTGAAAGTGCAGCTCTGCAATTGTTGCTCATGCCACTGCTGATGGAAGGATCCCTACTCACCCTGTTTAGAGCCCTGGGCCAGTGGTGGAAATTCCACATTAGCACGGCAAGGACTGCTTTATCCATAAAATGTGGTATTCATTGTATTGTGTCCAGGTGTTCTGTTCTAAGGCAGTGTGAATGCCGACGGTGGTGAGAAAACTGCTCCTATGAAGTGAATCACCTCTGCTCTGCCTCTCTCCCTCCTCCTCACTGTCTGGCATTGCTCGCCGACAGACAGCCGTGTCCAAATTCGACCAGATATGTGAAGATGCCTACGCCAGTTCCAAGGATGAGAAATTGCAACGGACAAGCCAGTGGATCGACTCTCCCTGGCACGGTATAGGACGCTGCTGAACAACCAGTGACTTAATTTATTAATTGCTGTGCAGGGCCCTTGCTAGAGGTGTCTAAAATGCCAGTCACCATTACGACTGAAGTTAGCTCTAGTTGGCTGGATGTGATGGCGGACCCGAATAATCCCACTTTGGGGTCAACTCAGCCCTTTGTCTATGCAGAGACTGATCTCCGTCACGTGAATATGACATTTTCAACGCTATGTCAGGGCTACCAAAAAAACCTGGGTTACACCCAAATGCTCCTTGAACTTGACGTGGATACCACATGTCACACACGTAATGGGCCCTATGTGAGTTAATGCATCCTAACGGGCTCTTTTAAAATTCATTCAACTCCCTGCACTTGGGCCACCAAGTGAGAGGATCCCAGGCACTGGGCTACAAAGAGTGGATAGATTAACACTGCTGGCTTTGCCCCCACCCCTCCCCACGGTATGAATCTGCCTTGTAGGGTTTTTCGGGCCGGATGGTCGACCGCAGAGCATGTGGACCCCGCCGTCGGGCGTCCCCGAGGAAATCCTCGCTCACATAGGCAACGCTGCGAGTTCCGTGCCGGCTGCGGACTTCAACATCCACCCAGGTGAGCCAACCACGCCACTCGCCCCACTCACTCACTTGAGTTCGTTTATTCACAAATGCAGCTGCTCCACATGTATTGAACGATCGCCCCAATGCACACCCTGACCATTGAATTTGGTGTAAAGCAGAGCTCATGAAACGTCGTTCCTCAGCCTTGTGGAGTGGAAGTTTATGGGGTTAGGATGAGATGGAAGGGGACTCTGTGTCTGGTCTCCTGAAAGGAAGACGCACACCTGGGTGGCGTGCTCCAGCCTTCGCGTTGAGTGACCTGATTCAATTGAGAAATTTGAACATATGTAAGTGTCATTAGAGATCAATTAGTCACGTGCTTGATCATAACCGGAGTGGGTTTTTTTTTCATTTGTATGTGAGACACAAACCCAAAGTCACATCTAGCAGATCATAGCTGCCTGTCTTGTTTGTGCCCTCTGACCCCTGCCCCCCTACACCCCCTGTCCGTCTCCCCACTCTCCAGGCCTAATGCGCGTGCTGCGTTCCCGCGCCGAGATGGTGAAGAACCGCACGGCCGACTGGGCGCTCGCCGAGTACATGGCGTTCGGCTCGCTGCTCAAGGAGGGCGTTCACGTGCGTCTGAGTGGCCAGGATGTGGAGAGGGGAACCTTCAGGTGAGGGGTGGCCGGTGATTGCTGGTCGAATTGTTGCCAACTGTCACCCACAATTGCAACTACATCTCTCCTATTCTTAGATCTGTATACAGTGAAACCTTGGATTGCGAGTAACTTGGTCTGCGAGTGTTTTGCAAGACGAGCAAATTTTTAAAATAAAAAATAATTTGATAAACGAGCGATGTCTTGCAATACGAGTACTGTAGTATGTACAGTATACGCTTTGTCTGCCGAGCGTCACGTGATCACAACTGAGCCAATGGTTCTTCTCTCTCGCTGCGGGATTGTGGGTAATCATCTCCCATGCTCGTTCTCAGTCGGTGTGCCTCACTCGTATAGTCAACATCCGTGCGAGCGTATACTGTTTACTATAGTGTGACAGTGTGACCATGTGTGTGTGCGTAAAGCATTTTTTTATTTTGTGTCTAAGTGTAGTGACTGTTCTTTAGTAACTGTACTGCAACAATGCTTTTTGCCTCCTCAAAAGGAGGCAAAAGCAAGTGTCATTGAATAGGTTCCTTGTTAAAGTCGCACAAAAATAAAAAAGATTCCAGTGAGCCAACAGATAGCAGTGATTCCGTTAGTGACAGTGAAAGTCGTCCAACACAATAACCCTCCTCCTCCTCTCCTCTCTCTCGTCTCCCTCACACCAGCCACGATTAAATGTAATTAATGCATTTTGATTACTTTATATTAGATTTAAATAAAAATATAAAAAGGTACAATATTTTGTATTAATTATTTTTATATTAATATTTTTGGGTTGTGGAACGAATCATCTGAGTTTCCATTATTTCTTATGGGGAAATTCGCTTTGATATACGAGTGCTTTGGATTACGAGCACGCTTCCGGAACGAATTATGCTCGCAATCCAAGGTTTCACTGTACTGGCTCCGAGTTGGATTTTGGCTCGATTACTCTCCAAGATTAACCTTACTGTTTATAGGATCCTACATGGGTTTACCTGGCCAGATAGTGCTGTGGTTATTGTGCATGTGTCGCAATCGTCAAGGCACGAGTTTATATCCCGAACAGGGTCTGGGCTCAGCTATTCAGCTCTGTCGGTAAACCTGAGACAATGGCAGACATTCTACATTGCTATGAAGTGGGCCGGTGTCTCCATCGCATGACCACTTAGTATTCCCATGAAACGGTACATGTTTTATTGACCTTAGAGGAATTGTGGGACAGCCTTCTAATTTTTTGTGTGAGGCACCTTGCCACCGTGCCAGTGCTGAATAAGCTAAATATTGTACGAGTAGCTCTTTGCAAAGCACATCCATCGACCCACAGGTAACACTGCATAACATGTGTGTCCTCCTACAGCCATCGGCACCATGTGCTGCATGATCAAAACGTGGACAAGAAGACTCTGGTACCCATGAAAAATCTGTGGCCATCGCAAGCTCCCTACACTGTGTGCAACAGCTCCCTGTCCGAGTACGGGGTCCTAGGTATGGTGTGGTGATCAACGCACGCACACACGCGTGCGCACCACTACAGCTGGTACAGCGAATCCAAATACCACATTGCAATACTTGTTTGGTACGGATTAACTGCTTCAGATTAAAGATGTAATAGTTTTTTTAATTTGTTATCCACTCAATCGTTTGTTCAGAAGCTGGGTGGATCTCGTCTGTTCCTCCTTTAAGTCAGTGAAGACAGCAGTGGCGGCTGTCTATAATGTGGTCAATGATTTTTGGGATTCGTGGACGCGGCTCGCAGGCCACACTATCTTTGATACGTCACTTGTGCATTGAAGATCCTCATTGCAATAGATTGCGTGATACGGGAACACAGTAGTTTTGATATCGTAGTTTCCATATGAGAAATTGTAAGAAATTCTCAACCTGCTAATAACTCTCTCTGGGGGTCTGTAAAATGTGGACTACTTTGTGGAAAATCAACTACGGTTGTCATATAGAGAGGTCTGGTGCCCATCATAGAAATGTGGAATTTCCATCACCGGCTCTGGGCTACCAAAGTAGGTAAACACCGATCCATACTTGTTTGAGTATAGAGTTAGCACCTTCCAACTGTGAGTCCGGAAGCAATCGGTTCAAATTGCATTATAGAACATTTGGTTTGAATACTTTTTCAGCCTTAAAGCTTCAATTCTACTTCAGTGTCAAGCTTGGTAGCACCCACAAGCCCAAGAGAGGCATATTCTCCGGATATCGACCTGGTGGTGGTGCGACTACTCCTGAAATCCGCCCCACCCCGACGACACCAATGACAGATGGCAGGCAGCGCTCTACCCCCTGCACTTGTTTTGTCTGCACTTGGCTGTGGGAGAGGATGGTGTTCACCAAATAGACATGCGGTGCGGCCAAACTGTCTTGGCGATGGTATTGATGACACGCTTTGATCACCAATGGTGATGGTGTGACAATAAATGCTGCTGGATGATGGCGTTGGCAGCAGCCACCCATTAAAACGAACTGTGTTTGTTCAATCACTTGTCTGTGCGTGCACGTACGCACGGTGTCTCGCGCAGGTTTTGAGCTGGGCTTCGCCATGTCCAGCCCCCACGCGCTTGTGTGCTGGGAGGCACAGTTCGGTGACTTCAACAACATGGCGCAGTGCATCATCGACCAGTTCATCTCCTCGGGCCAGGCCAAGTGGCTGCGGCAGAATGGGATTGTCCTGCTACTACCCCATGGCATGGAGGGAATGGTACGGTCTTGGCACCTTGCAACAACTGGCAGAGCCATACCTATCTTTTTTTTAGCAATCCCTCGGTGTTATATACAGCATATGGACAGAAATGTTGAATGGAGTTCATCTCTGCTGGTGGCCCTTAACCGGAAATGGAATTTCCACTTTCCTTTGGTGGAGACTTCTTTATCTCTACCACCACCACTGTTGACTTCTCACAAAGGGGTACTCGGCTTTGATTTCGGATTTGGAACCTGAAAAGCAGATTCGATTCCACCCTTATTTCTCCCAATCCTATTGTAAATGAATAACAGGCATCGCGCATTAACGTCTGCACTGGGGAGACGAAAATGGCAGGGTGTGGTCCTCTCCTCACCCCACCTTCGCATGCTCTTTTGGCTTTAATAGGTGCTCACTAACAGCATTTGTTGATTTAAGCTGCTTATCAAAAGGTCATAATTTTAAATAATCGTCGTGTGTTGATTTAGATCTTCTTCTGTCCTGGGTCATTGCAATGAACACAATTTTGTGGTAAGCCAGGAGTGGTTGTTCTGTAGACACATTGCTCCCTGGAATAAGAATATAGAATTCTGACCTTTGGCTCAGAGATACAAACTGAAATCAGCCCCACCCCAAGCTTGTTAGAGGATAGAAACACTTGACAATGGATTGTCAACAGCACTTGCATCTACAGGTTGTAAAGCTAAATGGAAGCTTGGGTATTGGCGTTTTGTTACTTCAGAAACCAGTGGCCTAAGTTAATTTCCCTGGCTAACACAGTTAACAGCAGTAGCGAGTGATATTTGAGCTGGTGCGGGGCCTTCCTAAGGCCAACTCAGCCTTCAAATGAGTGCCTGTGAGATGTGTAAGCATCAGCACTGGGGAGACATACCGTGGCCTGATCATTATTGATCCCATTTTGTCTACAATATGTGCTCGCCAACAGCCCTTGACCAACATGGGTTTGTGAAAGGCTGCACTGGAGATGTTTGCCTTTCTCTTTAATGTACATGCACCGTATGTGTTGTGTGTGAGTGTTAAGGGCAATGGTTACATAGTAGCAAACACACTCCATGAGGATAATTTATTTTCCCGTGTATGTGTGTGTGTGCCTTACAGGGTCCAGAGCACTCCTCTGCACGGCTGGAGCGGTTCCTCCAGATGTGCACCGACGACCCAGATGTCTTTCCGGTTCGGAATTGCAATCTCATCGTAAAAAAACAAACATTCGTAATCCTTATAACCGACCGTGAGTTGAATAACCGTGCTCGAGCAATCGCAGATCGCACGGCGTACACCAGTCTTCGTTGCCCCATTAATGTATTCATTAAATAACGTGTATACAAAACGTGAGTAAAATATGGTGTTTGAGAATTCGTAATTGGGGATAATTCGGCATGGCTGCGTTTTCGGCATATACACGGTATATTAATAATTCGCCATGAACCGAATTGCCGTACCGAATGGTCCAATTTCGACAGACACATGGAGCGACGCTGCGCGCCACGACTAGAACGACTCGGTCCGGTGCGTGTGGTGAGCGTGGGGTGAGAGTGGTGAGCGTCTTGGGAGTGGTGAGCGTGGTGAGCGTGGTGAGCATGGTGAGAGTGGTCAGCGTGGTGAGAGTGGTGAGCGTGGTGAGCGTGGTGATAGTGGTGAGAGTGGTGAGCGTGGTGAGCGTCGTGGGAGTGGTGGGAGTGGTGGGAGTGGTGGGAGTGGTGGGAGTGGTGAGAGTGGTGAGCGTTGTGAGAGTGGTGAGAGTGGTGAGAGTGGTGAGAGTGGTGAGCGTTGTGAGAGTGGTGAGTGGTGAGCGTGGTGAGAGTGGTGAGCCTGGTGAGCCTGGTGAGCCTGGTGAGCCTGGTGAGAGTGGTGAGTGGGGTGAGCGTGGTGGGAGTGGTGAGCGTGGTGAGCGCAGTGAGAGTGGTGAGCGTGGTGAGTGTGGTGAGTGTGGTGAGCATTAGTGCAGACCCTTCGCTTTGGACTTTACCTTGTTTATGTACTCTGTGCAAGCCAACCCTCTCAGACATGTCGTCTACACCTACATCAAGAAGTAATATAAAGGGACTGAAGTATGAATCCCTTAGTCTGCGAGACAATTCCAAAGTTTAGGATATAATTCATGCAGGTGTGTGAAGAGTTTGGAAAACCAATTTTGGATAAAACATATTTTGGGGCAGGATAATTCGGCAAGGCCAGAGCCCCATACGTGTCGAATTGACAAGGGTTTTCTGTACTGTAAAACGGTGACATTAACATTACCTGTGTGTGCACTTCCATCAACTAATTATTGACAAACTCCTAATAAATGCAACTCAACCCCTCTGCCCTTCTCTTTGCAACCAACGCTCACCTGAACGCTCCTACATCGTTTTCCCGCCAAAACTCACACTCCTTTTTTTCACGCCAAATCTTCGTCTTGAGGATTTTCTGCATACAATTATTGGGTATTTGTATTATTATATATCCCTCCTTCAAGGTGGGATCTATATATTCCCATGGAGTGTCTTCTGGAGTTGTTACCCATTGGGGTGTGATGCTGTCTGTCTTAAAGGCTGGCAGAACAATTTGGGATTTAAATATTGCAGAAATGCCAAAGTGTACTTGTGGTGAACATGCCCGGTGATAAGTCAAATAACAATGTTAGCGAGAACCCATGACTAAGAGTTTAACTGGCGACCGTTCTATTGTGAGTTGAATGCCTCTTTTGGCGAAACAATGTCTGACAGTCAATTAACTTTCATTATTCACCCAGGAAAGCCCCAGCTGAGTCTCAAAACTCATTTATAAGTGTGCTACTTGGAAAGTACGGTCAATCCTTTACCGAGCCAATTGTGTTTTTGGGTTTGTTTTAATGTGGTTCTAAACCAGAGTAGCTGGAGAAAACCTAGAAAAACGTGAAGATGACACGAAACATTCCACGAAAATAGTTCAGCAGCCCACTTGTTGTGCCGCTGTCGACTGGCCGCATTGCAGCCCAGTAGGTTGGTCAATCTTGACACGTGTTGATCTCTACCCGATTCACAAGCCGTGCGCCACCGTACCCAGGGAAACAATACAGTTAAGTGAGATGGTAAGTGTGCGTCTCCATGCTCCATATCTTCCCGTGTGTGTGTATCTGCATGGGTGTGTCTCGTGTGTGTGTATCTGCACGCGTGTTTGTTCCCTGCGCATTCTTGCTCGCAGAAAATTGGTGAGCACTTTGAGGTGCGTCAGATCTTCGAGTCGAACTGGACGGTGGCGAACTGCTCGACGCCTGCCAACTACTTCCACATCCTCAGGAGGCAGATCCTCCTTCCCTTCCGCAAGCCGGTTTGTGACCCCAGAATAAATCGGCAGTCACTGCCCCTTCCGCCACTTCCCTCCCTGCTGATCTCGCGCAACTTCTATTCGACTAGCTACTGAACGGCACTTGCCACTTTCCACCTTGGGAGGTGTGTTTACATCACTGACGTAGTGTAACATTCAGCTTTCGCGTGCGCGTTCCCACGCTCTTTGTCATCTCCGCAGCTCATTCTGGCCACGCCCAAGTCACTCCTGCGGCTGCCCGAGGCGCGTTCCAGTTTCGCCGACATGATGCCTGGTGCGTTCCAAACACCGGCACCGCAGTCAAACACGTGCGGGGGGGGGGGGGGCGGTGAACTTGTGAGTGGTGCATGCATAGAATACGGGTTTTTATATTTTAATCCGTCTACAATGGACCATTGTCTGATGGCAAACAGCAATGCGCATCGTATGAAGGTATTACGTGTGAAAATGCTAAAGTTATCACAGGTCAAACTTACTTTAAAGCAGATTGTAATTATTTTTTATCCATTGATGGAGCCAATATTATTATTATTGAAGACTAAACTCATTAGACTACATGAAACTAAGTATCTAATGTAAATACAAGACTTGTGAAACTACTTCTTCATGAAACTGACATAACCCATTAGCTCTGGTTATCATAACAAAAACTTTTTCCAACTAACCTATGCAAACTATAATGACCAACGTGTTGAGGTATGATCAAGACATCCCCATGGTGACAGTGTGGGGGGACCTTCATCCAGCAGTGGATTAACAAAGGCCTGTACATTACTATTAACCCAGTCTTAAAACAAAACTCATGAAGGGCATAGGAATTGGCCCTGATCAGAACAGAGTTAAGCTTTACTGATATTGGTTGGAGATGGCATGCTACAGTGCGTTACCTTGAAATGCAGGGCGCACATACAGAATTACTGTGGTTTGAAAAATGAGTTTCACGAACACCGCATTGCACGATTCCGGAGCAGGAGATGAGACAAGTTCACACATAACAACAGGAGAGAGCCCTCCTCATTTACTTGGGCTTTCTGGTTGAAAAGAGATCATCCTCAAGATAACATTTTAAATGTGTAAGTAATACACAAGCACACATCATGCCAGGTCACCATTAACACTGCCATAGGACAGAAAAATATTAAGTAATCTAACATTTCAGACAAAGTCTGCTTGTTAAGCTAAAACCCTGCCAGTGGCCTGTTAAATCAGCAACACCTCATTAAACTTAGATCAGAGGGGGAACGGTGGCACAGTGTAATATAGTTTTTTGGGTTAGATCGCTTAAGTATAAATGTGTCGTTATTTACGCGATCTAACCCAGAAAATATATATTATGGATGGTTATTGGTTGCGAAAGCCTACGTGTTAAACTGGTGGCACAGTGTAATATAGGTTTATATTATGGATGGTTGTGAAAGCCTACGTGTTAAACTGGTGGCACAGTGGTTCGTGCACCGCATTCAACTCGAGAGCCTCGGTTCGATTCCTGTCCAAAGCTGACGTTGGTGGCGAGTGGTATCTCAACCGGTTCTGGACGCTCACCACCTTCACCAACCCACAACTGACTAGCGCGTGCTGAAGCCTCGCCAAGACAACCTTCATCACCTATGCCAGGTATCTAGACTCTCCTCGTGCTGCCCACCCACCACCTCCCCCCGTCCGCCCGGCAGGGACGTCGTTCCGGCGCGTGATCCCGGAGGAGGGCCCCGCGGCCAAGGACCCTGGAGCGGTGCGGCGACTCATCTTCTGCTGCGGCAAGGTTTACTACGACCTGGCGCGCGAGCGAGACGCGCGGGGCATGCAGGGCCTCGTGGCGATCTGCCGCCTGGAGCAGGTGGGTCTCGCCACTCGCTCTCTCCTGGCACCTGTGGACATTACCGCTCTGTCTGTGCGGAAAGCTGTCAGACGGTCAAGCAGTGAGAGAGTCTGCCCTGAGAAGCAGCTTTTAGTAGAGCAGCAAGGTTGCCATTTATGAGATAATTTATTTTTACAATTTTATATCCTAGTGGTCTAGATTCAATGAATGACGACAGTAGACTCGTGTCTGAGATCAGCAGCAATGCTCCAAAGCCAAGTTCAAATGTCCTGCCCAAAGAGCAATGACATGCAATGACAGGGTGTTGAGTTTGCGTCCTGAGAAAGTCACCAAGAGGAAGAGCTGAAGATCAGATTGCAGCGTTGCGCCTTTAAGGGTGTAAATGTAGGGGCAGGCGTCAACTTTGCAAGAGTTGCAGGATTCGGCAGAAGAAAGGAAAAGTGGTGGTGGAATGTGGTGAGAGTGGACGGTATTGGCTGTGTTGACAACATCTGCCTGATCTTTCAGCTGAGACTATCAACATTTAGTGTGGCGTGCATCACCAATGTTGCATCCTCATGTTGCTGTGTAGTTACATTGTTGATGGGTTTGTACTTCATGTCCGCAGCTGTCTCCATTCCCACATGACCTGGTGCGCGACGAGGCACTTCGCTACCCGGCGGCCGAACTCGTTTGGTGCCAGGAGGAACACAAGAATCAGGGCTTCTTTGCGCACGTGCACCCACGTGTACGCACGGCCATCTCCCAGTCACGCCCACTCTGGTACGTCGCCCTCTGTCGTGTCCCACGCACTCTCCCTGTGCCCCTACCACACCCCCCCCACCTCCTACCTAGACGCATGAGGTTGTGTCACTGTCATATTCAGCTATTTTGAACTGGTGGTCGAAACAAGGCTGAGAGGATTATACATGCAACGTAATGGCCACAAGCTCCGCTGATAACAGCCCGCGATGGAAATTTCACATTCCTATGGTAGGAACCAGTCTCTCCAGAGGAAAAATTCTAAAACTGATAATGATTACAGAGGGTCAATAACGTTCATGTATGTATGTTGAACTTCTTTCACACCATATGTAGCCAACCGTGCTAATGGGAGGTGTGGGGGAAGGACAACAAACCAAACACAAAAAGCTGTTCTATGGCTGTGTAACATACAAGTTGAACTCTTCTTCCTTTGCACCACCATTACCGCCACCTAATCTACCACCAACCTTCTCCCGACCTCTTCAAATCCCTCCCCTCCCCAAACCATGACAGGTACGTGGGCCGTGACGCAGCATCTGCCCCGGCCACAGGGAACAAGTACTTGCACAACATGGAGTCGGAGCGCTTCTTGACAAAGGCGTTCCACCTGGACGCCTTCAAGGGCATCTAGGATGCGACTCTACGCCCTTTGCGCATACACGCACACATGTACACGTGTCCGTGTGTGTGAGCAACGATGCAATGTAGCTGTGCTTAGAGAAGCCTATTGAGAAGCTTTGTAGAAGAGCTTCCGAGGGGGGAGACCCGTAGAAGAACCTCATTAAGAAGCATCATTTTAACGGGTGTCAAATGACATTTTTACAGGTCCTGTGAGAGAAGAAGCCTCATTTAGACTGTGTATGTGTCGCTTAGAGGAGCCATAGTACAGAGATGCGTCGATGAGCCTCGTTGACATCTCTTGTAAGAACCTCGTGGGATCGTAGCCTTTCGAGAAACCCTCTAATTGCCTCGTATACAGAAGGCTCTTAGAGAACATGAGAAGAGCGTTATAGGTGGGCATTAGTCACCATGGTGAGTGCGTGCGTGCGTAGGTACTTTGTTGTGACCCTACTATTAGTTTGATTAACTCGGTCGCTTATTGGGCAAATGTGGCAATTGGGATATGTACCCAGTACAGGTCCCGTGAGGGTCAACTCAAGCTGAATGTACTTGCGTGAGCAGATCACCATCTGAATGTAGTGTGCAGTGAAAACTTCAGACGGGTAAATCTACAACAATAGTAACTTCTATTGAATTTGGGATCACAAAATCCCGTGAATAGTATTTTTGCATAGTGTTCAAACTCGACACTAATTTTACTCGTTGTTTAGGCTTTATTGAAAGTGACATAGCTCACCGCACATTCTTTCTGTGATGCACAATATTTTACTGGCGGACCTCGAACTGAAGACCTCTGGGAGTTTACATGGGAAAAAAAATTAGTTCCTTGCTTGCCTGAGAAGGAAGACGCTTTGACTTGGAATGTTTATTTGAACAGTGCAATGGAAATTCAGTATGGTAGATGTGATGAGTAATATGTTTAAAATAGTGTGCATTCCTTTAATTGCTGCCTTTATTCGCTAACTCGCTAACCCTACGCTTAGAATGAACAGCGTTGGCTCGTGCAATGCGTGTAGTAACCCTGACAGCCATCTTTTGCTCTAAGACTAACCCAAGCTTTGATTGTAACATAAACCATAGCTCTAATGCACAATAATCTTTATTAATTTATTATACTATTGTAAATTAATATTAAGTGACATTTTTGAATGTCAAAGTGTGCTTAAGATATAGTAGTTTTAGCTTCAATACTAAACCTTGTCTTTACAAAAACACATTTATTCAATATCTAAATGACATTCTTAAATGCTAACCAGAAACAAGGAGACGAGCAAATACATACAGACAAGGGGACACGGCCACACGGAGACACAAGTGGTTACCTCTGTCTATACCCTGTCTTCTGGCGAAATGCTACATAGAGTTTGTGGCGTTGCCAGAGGTTGATCGAGGAGTCTGTGTGTGTCTTCTCGGCCACAGCTGTGCGAGAAGTGGAGCCCTCTAAAGGAACATCTGCACCGGTTTGAAACATTCAGGCTAATCCTGTCCACGATCTATCCTGGGTTTAACCATACTGGATTGTGCGAGGACCTCAGATCCTTGAAAGATTTGGACTGTCCCATCAGGTGAGCTCTAGCATGCGAGGCTGCTTTGGCTGGGTCATGTAATCCACATGCCCACCCACCGCATGTCCAAGCAGCTTCTGTTTGGCTGGACAGATAGGGCTAAATGGGCGCGGAACGGACTAGAAAGGCGATGGAGTGATGTGATACAGAATGATGTGGAGCTGAATGAACTTGCCGATGACTGGTACCAGTAGTGTCAAGATTGGCCTCTGAGGAGGAGGTTCGTTAAGGACACTGCTGGGGAATTGGAAGCAGTCACCCTCCAGAAAGAACAAAGGGTAGAGGAGCGACGCTCACGAGCAGTACTTCGTGGATAAAATACAAGCAGTTGGCAGTGGGGAAGCACGGTGCATCTGCCAGTCATCTCAGTCGGTCAACCCATGGCACCTGGGTCTATTTTGTGACCTGCCAGCGGGCCTTCGACACTTCACGTGGAACGTGGTGACGTTACCGCCACTTAGTGTGGTGAACAGCGGTTGTGTATGTGTTGTTGAGAGGGGAGCAGCCATTGTTAGCCTGTACAGATTCTTTACAAGTTATTTCTCATGTGCGCCATAACCATAATTACATCACCATCATAAGATCATCTCATGCATCATCACCATCATACTCTTTGATTGCTTGTGTTGCGATCGAAACGTCGTGATTTAATTTATTTTATTTTATACCTACGTGACTTTACCGAAAGAACCAAAGAGTATGGATCCGTGCAGTCACGAAAACTTCAAATCTAGGTTGACATCACCATCATAACAAGGGTTGCCACCTCATGCACAGACTTTTCTCAATCAGCCCAGGTCAAAAAAGACTGTTCAGTAGAATACGCTATTAAAGTTCAACATACTACCACCAGATTTCTGCACTCTTCAATTTCTGCCACCCACAATTGCCAATTCGCAGACTTGGTCAACCGCAGACAGACCCTTGTAACATCATCATCCCCATCATAGTCATCATCTTTTAATTACTGTATGTCTCTCATGTTGGAACATATAAAAGTTGTCGCTTGGCTTAATATTATACATGTATTTTGATTGCAAGGTGTTATGGTTCTCGGGACAACACAGATGTCGCTAACTTGCAGGTTGTTGAGTCTCACATTTGGGACATATTTGCTTTACAGAATATACAAAAATTATGCTGTCTTCTAATATATAAAATAACGTATTATATCCTCATTATTTGTGATAAATAACTATCAGGCCTGGTGGCACTGTTGCAAGGTGCCTGACAAAAATCGGTAAAGCTGAGAGTTTAAATTCTAGTCAGGGGTGAACATAGCCCATCATTTGTCTGGTATCCATAAATTAGCTACAACTTAGTTGTCAAGAGTAATTGCCTAAGGAAAGACTGACTCTCTACGTATGTGAATGTTGAAATCACACATGGGCCACCTGTATCGCCGAGCACTGCCCCATGCTAGCTTTCACAGGGAGACACTTTGTTTATATTATCTCTTAACATGCAATATGCGATGTCAAACAAATTGGGTGGCTCTGAAGAGCGTGGTCGGTACAGGGAGACAGAGTCCCTGTTATCGAGCCTTTTCATGCAGTTGAGACCGCCGTTGTGATTGCCTGAGCTGGGGAAATGAAAGCAGGGCAGGAAGGTGATCGGCCAACTGAAGTAGCAGCTTTGGGAATCCTCAGGTAGTTGACCAGAACAACTTTACTGGGAGACATGGTTGTATAATATAAAAAAATATTTTTTTGGTTTATTGAAAGTTGCAAAAATTGCGTGTTATATATGGATTATTTTGACCCGATTGCACCTCAATTGTGTTACCAGCATTGTGAGCAAATAAAATATCTAAAAGCACGCGGCAGGACAGATGTTGCCACGTTCACAACATGCCTGGAGAGATGACTGTAACCAATTGCAAAGTGTTTTCGATGGCCTGTTGAGGCACGTTATAGACTGTGCACATTAAAGGAGTGATGGGGATCATTCAATATCCGTCTGCCGATTAGGCCGACAGATCGTGATTTGCACTGGAAAGAAGTGCAATTAGAATGGTATTTTGTTTACGATAGGATTTGTGCATTCTCCAGTCAACGGGCTGAGACTTTAAAATGCAATACAGAACCCAAACCCAGGATCTGACTGGTGCCGGCCCATTTTCCTGAGCTACCGAGCTACATTAAATATTTATGCTGGTAATAGAATTTTTAAATCCTATGAGAGCTGACTCAACCAATCATTCCACTGTGGTCTGTACATTAGGTACTAGAGATGTTTTCCAGAGTTTAGGATTAGTCCCAAAAATCAAGCCTCGTGAAATATTGCTCAATTTTTTTAATTGTATCCTAAAACTTGTGTTTTTCTCGCCAAAAGAGGGCATTACTAGTCTCACAAAGATTTATACAAAATGAAAATGATCTGAAAATATACTCGAATTTTGTGGAAAGTCAATCTCATACAAAGTGCTGGAACATATAAGACCTTGCACAGTTATTAATGGTCCAGTTCTGATTATATATATTAAACGGATAGCAGTAACAGTGTGCACAGAGCTGTGGTACTAGACAATTTATACAATTGTTCTTCTGAAGTAGAAAAAAAAATGTCTTCGCAGTATTTCTACTTTACAGAAATCTTATGTGAAGGTGACATTGCATATTCTTGGTCGTAAATTTAACCTGTTTGGAATTTAGATTTAAAGCTTAGTAAAGAGACAATGTGTTGAGCATCACCTTTAATCAACGACATAGAAATTCTGCGATTTGATCATGCATTTCACTTTTCACTTTGAAAAACTACCTTTATTCGGTTAGTTTTGCAAGGTAGTGATCATGGTTTTATTTGGAAATATATGACATTTATATTGAGCTATTTCTGTGGGTATTTTAAGAAGTTAAACAAGCTATGATTACTTTGCCAAAGTATGTTGGGCAACATTGTTTTAAATTTAAATGTATAACCTCATAATCATGGTGACATCTTCTAATCGCTTGAAAATTCTGTGACGTTTTGTTTTAAATACATTGTTTTAAATAAACTTATACAGCCTCGTTCATAGTCAATTTTTTTTTCTATTTCTACTTATAAACACAGAGGATTGAGTTCAATGAATTTGTCTTACGTTTATTTATACTTTTATTCAGAGGCTTTTTTAATGAGGGCATTTGGAAGTGCATGTCAGAAGAGAAAACATAAGCAGCTGATTTGAAGGGAAGCTAAAACAATGACTGAAAGTTTACAGTTATTTCACTGGAAGAGAGGAAGGACTACAGCAACCACACGCATCGACATCATCCTCTACTAGGATAGATTATGCAGATGTGCAATACTGCAATCCCAGGTGAAGAAAGTAGATCTTGGTGTCTGGCAGGAACGTGCGGGCAGGGGAGGCAGAGCCTCTCACCTGTCGTACTCCAATGAAAATAGCTGTTACGAAAAGTAATAAAAAGAATTATCAAATAAATATTAAGATTTTTTCCACTGATCTGTTATAAATGTCATTTCTGTACGATTCTAATAATTTTTATAGTCAAAATCGCCAAATGTGCGGAGCTCTGCTGCAAATACAAGAAGAGACGAGAGGTGAGGCAGCGACGAGCTCAGCCTCCCCTCTGATTGCGCAACCCCTCAGTAACTGGATGGAGCGCGGGCAATAAGCGCGTGCCTGTTACTATCTCAGTATGTCACCAATGTAATGTTTGTAGACCCCTTCATTTCATGTCCTCGCCTTCCATACTCCAGGTAACTTATTTCACGTATGTGTATGTAGATATTTAGGCGTGCTGGTCTCGTCATGAAACTGCAATGAAAAAGCACCAGGGGAGGCAGCTATCACATCTGCCTCACTGAGGGGGAAGTGTCTAACGCCCCCCTCAGTGAGGACACGCCCCCCTCAGTGAGGCCACGCCCCCTCAGTGAGGCCACGCCCCCTCAGTGAGGCCACGCCCCCCAGTGTGTAAATCTGTCTCTGCCACAAAAGCCAGTGCCTCCCCAGCCATTGACCTCACCGCGCGTCTCTGGTCTCTGGTGTGTCTTGACTCTGGATGATATTTCATTCTGAATACAGAAATGTCCCAAGGAGTGTCAACATTGGAATGGCCCGTTTTGAGAAATTTGAAGCGGTCATTCAAAACCAAATGAGATATTTTGTGCAAATGGTCTATTGGAATGATGCACACTTTTTGGTAATACTATTGGGATCTCGAGCTTGACATAGCTTCGGGCCCTAGCATGTCATAATCCAGCGCTGGTGCAGGCACTGCAGCCGTTGCATTGCCGTTTATCATGGTCTCCAGATTTGATGGAACTCTTTCAAGAGTTATTCTGATTGCCAACATGGATTATAGCTTTTCCGATACCACATTGGAATGTTTTTTGTGGTAGATATCAAAATTGGTATTCATTTATCGAGGTTGCCAGGCCTTGGGGCCGTCCATAAATGACGTCACGCGATTTTGGACGATTTTTGACCCCCCCCCCGTCACACGGCGTCACAAAAGTCAGACCCCCCCCTCAAATATGACGTCACAAAGCTCTGCCCCCCCCCCCCCAAAACCATTATTCTATTTTGAAAATAAAACATGCTTCAAATCGCTTTAAACTATTGTCATTGTCGTGCGTATTTAATGTGGCGCTGCACTCTGATGTTGTTGGAGAAACATTTATGAAAAGTCTATTTAATCAAGTAGAACGTGTTGTCTATATTTATTTAAAGTTGCGCATTTTGATGTGGCGTCACATTTCTCACCCCCCCCCCCGTCACACATCGTCAGAAATGTCTGACCCCCCTCCCCCCAGGTGCGTGACGTCATTTATGGACGGCCCCTTAGAGTTGAATGTTCTGTTTAAAATCACGTTATTTACCATATTAAATATTCGGATTTATGCTATTACTGTTCTTACATAGTAATGTTTATGTATTATACAGTTTTAGCTCATCCAGGTCTTTAAGTTGCGTCCCAGTCCCACTTCTTTAGTTGAATAGAAAAACAATTAAGGTTATCATCAGCTTTGACTCATGGATTACACTCATGATCAAATCGCAAGTGCACAGAACACGTTGGGATGCGGAAACATAAATACTCCAAATATTGTTTTCTTTTAAAATAAGAAGACGTAATTCCTTCACTATGTGTGTACATGTTTAAGGGTTGAAGGTCAGCAGTAGCTGCAAGCCAAACTGACAAACTTAGATTCAACGGAAATTCCCATAACCAGAATACTCTAGTCAAATTAAGATAACCTTTCAATGCTTGTAGAGTTACAGGATTAATGGTCGTCATTGATCGAACTTGTTATTATGGACAGAAAATAAATAAAACAGAAGTGTCCCAAGCTTGATTTGGTCAAGCCCTTTGAGTATTTTGCATGTGGAAGATAATTATCATTAGTTTTATCATCATGGGACCTCCTTTGCCAGTACCGAAATATGAGAATAGGTTTTCCCCTTGTTTCTGGCAACAAAACAGGTGTTAAGATTTTAAAACACCAAACTGGAACCTATTACAAGGAATCATGTCTGCATCAACCACAATACTTGTGGTCAAAATGCAAACAAAAAACATACTCTGACAGTGTATGCATTGTCTTTGAAACTGATTGGTCCACACCAGAGACAGCTTTCTTTCGAGCCTAGTCTCGTTTTTATTTCGACCCTTGGACTGTGCAACATATCGTGAACGACTGCCCAATCAGACCACTGAATGGCAATCTGAAACAAATCCATGTGGTTACTGCTTCAGCAGTCGAATGGATATCAAATCTCGACATAAATTTGTAATCTGTTGCAATCTCCAAAAAGAGCATACGAAAGAATGACCACGATCGAAAACACGACCTTCCGTATACCTGGCGAGGGAGTTAACATCTCACCACCGTGGTGCCCCCAATAGTACCCTGCTTAAAACCCACGGACACCTCGATGTGGGATTCGAGTTCGCTGGTTGGGGTTACTTCATCTTCCTTTACTCCACGTGCCCCTCCACACAATCCCATCTGACCGTACCCTGTACCTTCCCCTGTGTTTTTTTTTCTTCCCCATTAAAAAACAATACTTCTGGGGGAAATAAAAAAAAATCCACACGGATACTGGAGTTAATTAAACCCACGTGACTCGGCATCGCGTGTAATAAAGTCTAAAGCTTGAAAATCTCAAAGTGAAAGGCGGTTGTAAGGCTTACAAAAAAACACATTTTCATGTTCTATTTATATTCTTCTGTGCACGTTTTGTTTGCTGTGTGACTCTGTGTGACTCTCCAAACAGTCAAATGGTGGTGAGTTTATATCCCAGCTGGCGGGGGTCGATTCAGCTGAACATCCCTTTGGACTTAATACAATGAGAATAGCATTACAGGAAGTCAACGGTTGGGTGATCTATTGAGACTGACCCAGCACCAAGGAATGTGGAATTTCCCCTGTGGGCTCTGAGCCATCACTAAAGATGATAACTGCCTCCGCCCCTGTTTTTAGTGGGGAGATATTTTGGCTTCAAACTTAAAATGTAACTTTTCAAGTGTTGTTTTAGTTGTGTAAGCACATTTCTGCGTGCGCTCACCGTGGTGGCACTACAAGTACTGGGTGTTTACACCTTTTTGGAGCCACACATCGATTTGGATCGGAAAAAGAGCACAGCTATAAGGAAGTATTCGTGTCCTCGTTGGGGTATGTGGGTTGCGTGTGTGAATGTGTCGAAGGAGTGGTGGCGTTGTCGTTTGCACATTGTGCTACAATCCCGGTGGCCTTCGTATGATTTGAGGCTGCTAAGTTGACCACCTAAATCAGGGGTCCTCAAACTACGGCCTGCGGGCCACATGCGGCCCGCCGAGGACATTTATCCGGCCCATGTCACTAATTGGGCTGCGCTTGTGAGCACTGATTGGGCTGCACTGGTGAGCACTAATTGGGCTGCGCTTGTGAGCACTGATTGGGCTGCGGTGGTGAGCACTGATTGAGCTGCGGCGGTGGGCACTCATTGGGCTGCGCTGGTGAATGGTTCAATGGGCCAATTGACTGGACTTGCCCCCCAGGCCTAAGGCTGCCAGCCCTCCCCTGGCTGCGCTTGACTGGCTCTCCCTCCCTCAGCTCCCTCACTTGCCCCTCGGCTCCACTCCCAGTGATATTCCTGTGTGCTGCGATCTGTGAACAAAACTGCAGGTGTAATTAACTTTTTAATGGCACCCGCACTAGTGTGAGCCTGGGGTAAAAGCGGAGTTCCCCCAATCAGACTGCATTGATGGGCAGTGCAGTCTGTATGTCTCTGTGTGGGCAAAGTTATTGCTGGTATATTGTTTTTGTAGCGCTGTATATATATTGGTATTTTACTAATAGCAATTTTGACTCCCTAGAAAACAATGATGTCAAGAAAGAGAAAAAGGAAAGAGCTGTGTGTCTGATATGCCATAATATAGTGTCTGTGTTCAAAGAATACAATTTACGTCGACACTATGAAACTCAACGTAAAGATACATATGATTGTTTGGTCGGAGAAGTGAGAAAAGATAAAATATTAAAACTGAAAAATACATTAACAACTCAGCAAAATACTTTTGTGAAGCAGAAGCAGCTAAATATTTCATCACTGCGAGCAAGTTTTCAAGTTGCCAAGCTAATAGCGTGCACTGGAGGGAGAATTTGTTAAAGAATGCCTTCTTTCTGTTGCCAAAGAGATGTGTCCAGAGAAGGCCGATTTATTTAGTACAGTGAGTCTCTCAGGACCTACAATTACACGGAGGATTGAAGAAATGGGAGACAATTTGCATCAGCATTTGCAAAACTCCACAAAAAAAACTTTCCTATTTTTCCTTGGCACTCGACGAAAGTAATGATGTTCGTGATTCTGCACAACTTCTAATTTTTATTCGTGGGACGAATGACTTTCGAAGTCGCAGAAGAGCTTGCTGCACTGCAAAGCATCAAAGGAACAACTACAGGAGAGGATATCTATGAAAAGGTTTGCCAAACTGTGAATGGTTTGGAGCTGAACTGGGCTAAACTAGGCAGTGTGACAACTGATGGTGCTCCTAGCATGGTGGGGTCTAAGAAAGGAGTAATT